ATGTATGTTTAATGGCTTTGAACTTTAAACATAGTATATATATATATACCGGGAACACAACTCTTCTGACAATCTTGGTAATGCAGAAGGCTGCAGTGAGGGTTCCACTAGGCAGCGCTTCCTGGGAGAAGTCCCATTCGCTGTCTGGGCTGCGTGTAGAGGGGTCAAGGGCCCTGAGCTGATGAAGAGCCTAACCATCCTGACTGTGCCAGGATCACCCAAACCCTCTTTGCTGCACTTTTGATTTTAATCTGAACATAATGATGATACTTCAATGATGATGATGATGATGATGATGATGATGATGATGATGGTGGTGGTGGTATATTTTTATGAGGCGCCAAATCCACATCCTAAAGCATGCTCAAAGCGCTACATTATTATCAACAGTGTGCACTCGATTTTCATTCTCATCTTCCTGAGGAGTATACAACCCAAGCTGTCTGTGAAGTGCCTGAAGGTTAACATTCACATTACTATCTCATTCTTCCGGGTACCCATTCACAGCCGTGTGAATTCATTCAATTGTAAAGGCATGATTCCATACAGATATTGCGTATTGAGTACAGGAACGTAATAAATCAGTGCAAAGCCAGACATATGACTCTCGGTGGTTCGAACGGAGCAGTAACCGGCAACACTATCTTGCAAATAAAAAACACCACTTGACTGAGGTATGATAATTCGCTATCCACCTTATCCATTAATTCCCCTTGTATATACATACGCATCCTTGTAAGTAATTCATGTCCATTCCAGCCAATCACACAGCTCTGTGTATTTATCTTGTGTATAAACACCCTTATAGATCCAGTAACAATCTGCTCATTGCACGGACACATTAGTGGATCTGTGTTTATGCTGTATGGGCGTGGTCTTGTGAATGGCTCTTTATCGATATGAACTACGGAGCTATAAATTACGAAACCCTTATCAACCCTTAAGACCTTTTCACCAATTTATGGTCCCTTGTAAAGCAATTGGCGCAGTAAAAGTATCGAGTTTTGTTGACGGAATAGATTCTTGACGCCGTGCGTGTTAGTCACTATTGTGAGCGGCGTTGCATTCCTGGCAATTCATTGTGGCTAAACTGAAGATGGCCTGTATATCAGCAGTAATAACAGGCTGACTCTTCTAAATCTTGACGTGTCTCCAACATATGTACATCTCGTGGAAGTTTATTCAGATTATCAACAGAGGTCGGTATTGAAGTGTACAGGAACGTTGCAGTTTTGGGTTTAAGGAAGTTGGTTTGGAGTTTCGTTAATTATGGATGTTGAGGTGTTTAAGAGCTAAACACGTGTAAATGAATCGAATCCTTATGTTGTGTTTCAGTTTAACCTCACAACTTTCTGAAATGCATAACCCTCTACCTTTTGCATACTACACAACAAGAGAACACGGCAGATATGATGCATAACCCCTACCTTTTACATACTACATAACAAGAGAACACGGCAGATATGATAGATGTTAATGTTGCATTCACATGGAAAAATCGATATGAATGAGTAAGAAAAATACATTCAAACAAGACCCATGAAGGTCCGGGGTAGAATAGGTCTTCAGCAACCCATGCTTGCCGTAAAGAGCGACTATGCTTGTCGTAAGGGGCGACTAACGGGATCGGGTGGTCAGACTCGCTGACTTGGTTGATGCATGTCATCGTATCCCAATTGCCTAGATCGATGTTCAGTGATATCAATCACTGGATTGTCTGGTCCAGACTCGATTATGTACAGACCAACGTCATATAGCTGGAATATTGCTGAGTGCGGCGTTAAACAACAAACAAACAAACAAACAACATTCAAACAAAATGTACATCAAAGATAATCATACCATATTTGACTGATTTGAAGATACTTGTTTTCCGAAGGGTCTTAACTCTATACATGTACTGTGGTGATGGGAGTAGTAGTAGTAGTGGTGGTGGTGGTGGTGGTGGTGGTGGTGGTTGCGGTGGCGGTGATAGTGTTGGAGGAAGTAGTAGTGGTGGTAGTGGTGGTGGTAGTAGTAGTAGTGGTGGTGGTGGTGGTGGTAGTAGTAGTGGTGGTGGTTGTGGTGATGGTGGTGGTAGCAGTTGTAGTTGTGATGGTGGTGATGCTGGTGGAAGTAGTAGTACTAGTGGTGGTGGTGATGCTGGTGGTAGTAGTGGTAGTAGTAGTAGTAGTAGTAGTAGTAGTAGTAGTATCGGTAGTAGTAGGAGTAGTAGCAGCAGCAGCAGTGGTAGCAGTAATAGTAGTAGACGTGGTGGTAGCAGTAATAGTAGTAGTAGTAGTAATAATAGTAGTAGAAGTAGTAGTAGTAGTAGTAGCAGTAGTAGTAGCAGTAATAGTAGTGGAAGTAGTAGTAGTAGTAGTAGAAGTAGTAAAAGTAGTAGTAGTAGTAGTAATAGTAGTAGTAGTAGTAGTCGTAGTAACAGTAATAGTGGTAAAAGAAGTAGTAGTAGAAATAGTCGTAGTAGTAGTAGTAGTAATGGTAGTAGTAATGGTAATAGTAGTAATAGTAGTAGAAGTAGTAGTAGAAGTAGTAGTAGCAGTAGTAGTAATATTAGTAGAAGTAGTAGTAGTAGAAGTAGTAGGATTAGTAATAGTAGTAGAAGTAGTATTAGTCGTAGTAGTAGTAGCAGTTATAGTGGTAGAAGAAGTAGTAGTAGTAGTAGTAGTAGAAATAGTCGTAGAAGTCGTAGTAGTAGTAATGGTAGTAGTAGTTAAAGTAGTAGTAGTAGTAGGAGTAGTAGAAGTAGTAGTAGTAGGAGTAGTAGAAGTAGAAGTAGTAGTTGTAGTTGTAGTAGTAGTAGTAGTAGAAGTAATAATAGTAGTTGAAGTAGTAGTAGTAGTGGCAGCAGTAGCAGCAGTAGTAGTAGTAGCAGTAGTAGTAATAGCAGCAGTAGTAGTAGTAGTAGTAGTAGTAGTAGTAGTAGAAGTAGTAGTAGTAGAAGTAGTAGTAGCAGTAGAAGTAGTAGTTTTAGTAGTAATAGGGGTAGTCCTGCACCATGACCGTGGAATATATTTATTTTATGAAAAAAACATAATCTAGAAATGCATACAAAAGCAAGTCTAGCCAGCTCAAGCTAGCTCTATTCCACAGCATATCAGCATAGGGAATTTTATTTTTATTTTTAGAGTCAAGAAGGATATTGTGTAATATAAGATTTCAGAGACTAAATGTTAGTCTATAATAGGGGCAACAGTAGCAGTAGTAGTAGTAGTAGTAGTAGTAGTAGTAGTAGTTGTAGTAGTAGTAGTAGTAGTAGTAGTAGTAGAAATAGTAGTAGTAGTAATAGGGGTAACAGTAGTAGTAGTAGTAGTAGTAGTAGTAGTAGTAGTAGTAGTAGCTGACGGTGGGGTGTAACAACATTCGCTCACTGAGGGGTGTCCATGTGGGAAATCATTTAGTGATGAAGGAGTTATCTCCCCTGGTATACAGGTCAGTTTTGCCTTTTTAAGCCAGCACGAGGTCTGACTGCTGGAACATCATTTCTCCGCGTATTTACCATGACACCGCGATATATATGTAAATTAGAAGCCAGGGTTGTCTAAAGTCTATTGTATATATTCTCCCTTTCTAATCTTTAAATGCCGTTAAAATTATATCGTTGAGAAAATACATTGAGAGTTCGTGACAATATTGGAATATTTGTTTCTCGGAAGTGCGCACTCGAACAGCACTATTCAGGGATATTAGTACACGTGATCAAATGACAATATCTCATTTGACAACATATTTTATGTGTATCTTAACTGACCATGACTTTGAATCTGATAGAGAGTGAGTGAGTTGGGTTTAACGCCGCTTTGAACAGTATTCCAGTTATATCACGGCGTGTCAGCTTCATGAAGAAGGAAAGCACGAACTGATGCAGGTCTCAGACGTTTAGCACTTTGGTGAAACCCACGAGCACGGGTATGGTGCCGACAAGCAGAGCAACATAACCGGGGCGAACCGGAATTCGAACCAACACTCGTGGATTTCTGGTGTATCCAAGGGACGCAACTCTGCACAGTGAAATGCGGCGCCTTAGATGACTTGGTCACCCCTGCCCCTGAATTATTATAGACAGAAGAAAACAGAAGCCGGATTTTTTTCGACAGCATTTTTTGTATATCCGACTAATGTACGGTCTATTTTAATCAAAGCATTGAAAAAGCACGTTTTTGCATGGATTGCACGTGCAGCACAAAGTCCTTCAAATGAAGTATTTTTATCGAGATTTAAATACGCACGTGATCAACTCGCGATCATTCATTTGGCAAGTGCTTCCAGTTGTACTTTGATAAATACCACGTGTTGTTGTACTGCACGTGCAGAATATAGTCCTTTAAATTCATTATCTGGAGTACATTTATTGAAATAGACGTGCAAACATGATCAACTGGCGATCATTCATAGGACAAGAGCCTCAATATGTACTTAGATAAAAGTTACGTTTTCAATGTAATGCACGTGCAGTGCATGGTCCTTCAGATGCATTGTCTGCAGTACATACGTCGGGATATAATTGTACACGTGATCAAATGGCGATCAATTTGACAAGATCAAACATTTCATAAGATCAAGTAAGCTTAAACACATATTTTTTTCACAAAACACAAGTTACGAGATCCTCTCCTAATTAGAATATTTGTTTGTTTGTTGTTTAACGCCGAGCTCAGAAATATTCCATCTATATGACGGCGGTCTGTAACACGGCCTTAAATAGACGCGACACTTTCCTCTTTTCCATTTTCATGGGCGCATGAGTTTTGACATTTCATATTTTGTGTTGCGGTGACCTCCTCCGTTTGTTTGTTTGTTGTTTAACGCCGCACTCAGCAATATTCCAGCTATATGACGGCCGTCTGTAAATAGTGGAATCTGGACCAGACAATCATGAGCATCGATCCACGCAATTGGGATACGACGACATGCATCAACCAAGTCAGCGACAAGGATAGTCGCCTCATACGACAAGCATAGTCGCCTTTATTTACAATTAGAATATCAAGGCATTGACATCAAGTTACAAATATTTGGCTTTATTACAATGATATCAAATATGTACATATATGTTCAGTGAAAGAGTGAGTGAGTGGGTTGGGTTAAACGCCGCTTTTAACAGTATTCCAGCTACGGGCACGGGTATGGTGCTGACAAACCTAGAAACATAATCGGCGCGAACCGGGATTCGAGCCCACAATCATAGGTTTCTGGCGTGCCCAAGGGACGCAACTCTGCACAGCGAATCGCTGCGCCTCAGACGACTGGGCCCCCCGTGCCCCCTTCAGTGAAAGATCAAGTAAAACAAATTACATACCAAAACAGGAAAACGTAACTACAATCAAATATCTTTAGTGTTTCAGTTAAAATGTACAAGAAACAGCTATATCAAGAGGTAATGGACAACAACACAAACGCCTTTCTGCAGCTCAAAAAAACACACAAAAATGTATACGGTATTTGGTACTGGAAGAATTCCCATTCGGGCTACGTAAAGCAAACGTAATTGTTATCATCTAACTCCCGACGTGCATAGATATAAAAGCAAGAAAAGGTCTGAATATTTCCGCGTGAGATTCGAACTCCATCTGATTGTCTGGCAGTCATATCACCACTCTCATTTCAAGTCCAATCAAGAATCATGTTTTCCTAACGTCATTTTTTAGAATATTTTACGTGTGTTTCATTTACGTCTATCAGCTATCAGAGATGAACGGGTGTTTAACGTCAGACATTATTGCACTTACATGACGACGTGCGTGTATCCTTTAATGACGACAAGTACCATTTTTTAACGATCCTTTTTGGCATGAAGCGGCCGGGAAAAGGACCACCTACCTCCCTTTTTCTTAGACTCTCTATGATACCCTAGATCATTGCCCAGATGCGGTAAGTTTTCACTGGGATCCTAAGGTATCCCAAATAAAAATCACAAGATGAAACAAATATCTACTCCCCACGAGAGGAGAATAACAAATCTTAAATGAATGAAAACAGTAAGAGTCCGTTCTGCAACAATACGCCCCATCATTGTGTCACGCTTGGCTTTTCCACCTGAACGTGAATATGTACGGTATCAGACCACGGTCCCTCGCTCACCCCATCGCAATCTTGCCTCATGCCTACAAGCCTGACCCTCAGTAACAGCGTGAACGGTGCCATGCAGGGAGAAAGGTTCCATCTTGTTCGGCCGATGGAGATGTGCTTCGGGAATTTGTACAGTCTAAGGGGAGACGACTGCGTGTCAGCTATCCTCTTCCAGGATTCAGATCGGGCGCATTCTGTAAACCGACTGGCGTTCGATCCCTTCTCATGCAGCGGTTCCTGCATTGATTGCACTTCGTAAAACATTTGTTTGAATTTCCCAACATTTGAAGGCCTTTCCCATTTTATTTGCGTCTCGGTTGGTGAATCGGAGTGAATGTAATACTCCAACTTTGGAATATTAACCATTTCTGTGGACAAGCTGCAAGATGGGGATGACTCGAATGTCAAAGGTTTGGCATCTTTGTGTTGTATAGACATATCGCTGGTACTCATCGAGGCTTCTTGGGATTTCGTCCATGCGTTTTGTTGTGACTGCGTGATGCTGCCTCTGTAACGTAACGTTGATAATAGTCACATTTGTTGCGTTAAGTTGATTAAGTCACGTACACAATGTAAAATTGATTAGTCACGTACGCTAAAGAAAAGTTATTACAGCCACGTACACGAAGTATAAGTTCTTACAGTCGCGTATGTACACTAAGAATAGGTCTTCAGCAACCCATGTCTGCCGTAAAAGGCGACTATGCTTATATGAGGCGACTAACGGGATCGGCTGGTCAGGCTCGCTGACTTGGTTGATGCATGTCATCGTATCTTAATTGCGTGGAGCGATGCTCATGATGTCAATCACTGGATTGTCTGGTGGTACTCGATTTTTACAGACCGCCGTAATATAGCTGTAATATTTCTAAGTGCGGCGTTAAACAACAAACAAACAAACAAAACACTAAGTAAACGTTATGAGAGTCACATACACACTTCATAAAAGTGATTACAAACAAGTATACTAAGTAAACGTTATTACAATCACGTACACTACTTTATCAAAAACAAAAATAAACCCAGCAAATTCTTGAAAAAATAACTATGCTTAAGAATCTTGAAAAAGAAGAAATTGACTGCCACGAAAATTATATTGTTACAAGGTTGTTTTCTTAAAAATAAATTAAGTTCGACAAATGGTCGGTTCCTAACACACTACATGCATAGGGTGCTCAGGTGATGTGGTTGGTTCGATGCTCATAATATCAATCACTGGATTGTCTAGTCCAGGTTCGATTATTTACAGCCCGCTTCACATAGCTGAAATATCGCTGAGTCTAATAACCAATAAACAAATAAACTTACGTTTCAATGAACTGGACTCTAAACTCCTCACTCCATGGCCCCTTCTTACAAGACGGCAGTCTGTTGTACCCATCAACAGCCCGTGCACGGAGCCACACCTTCAGACCGTGTGTTCTACGTGATTGGTTCAGTGCCCATTTAGCATGTCCAATCGCCAGCATCGACTGAGTTCGAAACAAACGAATATAAGGCTTGGCAGTATCTATTATTTCTACCCAGTAATCGTCATGTCTATCGATCGGTTTGGATATCGGTGTGATTGAAAGTGATGGAGAGGATGCGTAGTGTGTCTCAACCACGTACATCAAACCAGTGAAGTCATCCGCGTTGTCAGGAACACGCCATCTGATCTCCACAGTAGCAGGGGAGGAACTGGTGATGACATATTCCTGCTGTTCTACTTGGATCCTTCCCGGTAACGACGGGTCATGTTCCGCTGGCTTCTCAGATGCTCCATCTGTTGACATGGCGTCGTGACGAAGGCTTGAAGTGGCTAATGGTGCACTTGGAAGACCGGGGAAATGGTTCCGGTCTGATGCGACTCCGGTCTGTGGCAATGGGGAAGTTCTGTGTGACCTTTTGGCATCTTTTAGAGATGATGGATCAGATACACTCTTTGGACCACTCTTGTGGTCGGCGTCAAGTGATGAAGTTCTCTGATCATCATTGTGGCTGACACTGGACTCTGCACAGTGAGCGCCAGGTTCTGTTGTTCGTCTGTGGGAAGATGGAGATGGACGGTCTGTGTAGGCAGGCGGAGGTCCTTCTGGGAGGCTGGCATCAACAGACTGAAAGGACGACCCACTGCTGACGCTTCTGAAGCTAAAAGAGAAGTCGATAGTTAAGTGGATGTGTGAGTTAAAATGTGCAATTACATTTGCAGTATTTCAGCCATTTTGTGACTGAAATATGTTAATATGAATCATATATTTAAAAAATGTATATGTAGAATGTGTTTTTGTAAAGGAATTTTGGTTAGAAATTGAAGTATACCTTAACTCGAAACTTACATATGATACTCATATTACCAGTCTAGATATATTATTTTGCTACAACAAAAACAACTCTCGTTTCAACCATATACAATTCTTCCTGCAAAAAAAATACATTCGCCAGTTAAGCATTAAGATAACTCCATATGCTTTCATTTCTTCATAAAAATATTGAAAGATGTATGTAAAATAGAAAGAAATATCGCAATAAAAAATAGTGGTATTAATAAATTCGACAGAAAATGGAAAGAAATATCAGCCTACTTCATATAATTTATCAGTCAATCGAATATATGTATATACCTCATGTACCTACATGTATGATACAGATATATGTCTACTGAATTGAAATAAAAATTAAAAATATTAAAAAAATATAAAAACCAGTATGAGGTTATTAGACAGATATGAGTATGACATGATATTACAAATTAAAAACCGAGGTCACCAGCCCCCAAAGCCTACCATACTAGGGATCTTAGGTGTGAAATCGAAATTAAATAAATAAATAAATTTGTGAGTGACCATCTATAAATATATGAAGCTTTTCGGGGTGGATACAAATTTTTATAAAAAGAGTGTTTTTGAGAAAAAGAATAGTCAAATAATGTTAAAATTGTTTTAATTATTTCACCACATCATTCAGTAATATGTTTGTATCATACACTGACAAGACTAATATACGGAACCCTGCCACACGACCACCCTCTGGGTCCGAGTATGAACCATGTACATGAATATAAATTAATATAAAAATGTATCATGCTGCAGGGCACCCTACCATTAAACCAATTCATCACTGTGCAGGTTAACGAAGTTACGTCCCTTGGCTAACTGTGTCAGGATCACCATTACCTTCACGTTCACTGCTTACCTATTACCTGTCGTCGAGGGAGGAAATATGACAATAAAATCCCCGGAGTCACCGGTGAGATCCCCGGGGGTGAGACCGGAGCGCGTCTGTATCCCTTGTTGTCGCATCCCCTCAGCAATGGCGGCCATTGTGTCGGTGTACGATGGGGGGCCGTCCTCCGCCATGTCTTTTTTTAGTTTGTGCTGATATTTTGTAAAACCACCATGAATAATGTCATTGACAATGAATATATCACGCCCGAATAAGCTTCAAGAACTGAAACCTTTGTACCTTAAGTATAGTACAGAAAGTGACTTTTTTACATTTTTTAAATTAAATTCAATAATACTTCCGAGTTCGTCGCATATCTTATATTAGTTATATAATTTGTTAAATGTAACTAATTAATGTCACTAATTATAATAATTGACCTCAAAGATAATTATGATGATTACATAAGTTATTTAACACACTCGCTACAATACAAATAATTATCAACATACATCGTTTTACTTTAGGCAAGGAATGTCGGTATTTCCACATTCCACAAGGGATTTTCACATTCATAAAATCTTAAGAAACTCTCTGAACTACTTACTGAACGTGTGACGTGTTAGATGTTATCTCAAATCACTTGCTAGTAAGTACTGGCCCAACTTGTACACAGGCAGTTGCAGCTTACGTTATGTAGGTCATCATCTTACCCGTATACAATCCTGCTCGAGCAACATGCCAGTAAGTAGTTTCCGAATAACGTATGTCAACAACCAGGACACGCCCACTCACAGTTACGCGGAGTGACAGCGATTCACAAGACGGTCAAGGCTGTTTATATTATCTACGCTTTACAATTTCGTGTGTACTCTTACCGTTGCAACACTTGCATGGTGAAACCGCCGTAGAAAATAAATCTTCTTTTACCATAGGATAACAATGAGAGTGAACGTTTTCATTTTTTTCGGTCATCGTGGGGACTACTACTGATACCTTCGATGGTGTATGTTATGGAACACACTTTGGTGTCTTCCTTTACGCTGGGGGCGGTCGGGTAGCCTAGTGGTTAAAGCGTTCGCTCGTTACGCCGAAGACCCGGCTTCGATTCCCGACATGGGTACAATGTGTGAAGCCCATCTCTGGTGTCCCCCGCCGTGATATTGCTGGAATATTGCTAAAAGCGGCGTAAAATCAAACTCACTCACTCACTCCTTTACGCTGTCAGAGGCGACAGAAGTAGTTGACAGTCAGTCGTCAGATCACCTGTTTACTGATGTCCCATCAGTTCGGTAAACACTGGGCGCCGCCATTGTGGAGAGGTCGGGAAATGGCCTTTGTGCGGGAAATGACCTTTAGTGAGCGGGTATATAAACTAACCCGCGCTTACAGTCTGGGAAATACGCATCAGTCGGAAAGCGCACGTTAAATCTCCAAAGTAAGTAAGTAAGTACAGTCTAGGGACCCGTGTGCGAGGACGCATAATGCGGAAAGCGCACGTTTAATCTCCAATAGTAAGTAAGTAATGAAATCTGAGTCATGTTATTTTGACGGTACAGTGAGCAGGAAACGGGGATGGTCAAGTATCCCAAGGGAGTTGTTCTGTGTCCTTTATGTCTGCCGTTCGGTATTTATCTTGGCCATATGCATGTAGTCATTTAGTTGTGTTAGATTTGTTAGGTTTCATTAATTTACTAGTAATTATGTATCAATTTTGACAGCGTTTCTAGACCCTCCTGGCCTTGCGTCTTGAGATCGCCGCACATTCTGTCGGGTTATATTCTATATATTTAGCTCTATTTAAGAAATTAACGACGAGTGGGAGTTGTTTATCGTACAATAAAACACTGCAGGGAGAATAAACCACGAGGGACGCATCCTCGAGTGGTTCATTCTCTCAACTATGTTTTATTGCACGGCAAACAACGACCACGAGTCCTCACTCAATGGAATCCAACCTCGGCAATAAATTGTTTGATAGGCATTACTTTGAAGGTAGACACAAGTTTATGGATAACAACTTCTTTAATACTGTAAAAAAGTGACGTTAGATAGATTGTTGGTTGGTTAAAAGAAACTTACAATTACACCTTAATCTTTAACTCACGATTAGCCGTGAAGTGTATGTACACGTGTATGTTTTAAAATGCGCTTGAGAGTGAGTGAAATTTCTTTAACTGAAAAGTTATCACGGCGTTTTAGTGACAGAGATATCAACGTCACGCACATTTTTATCGGGTAACCATTAAATGTAATACGGATCGTTAATTTCACGTGTTAATTTCACGTGTTAATTTCACATGTTAATTTCACATGTTCCTTTCACGTTAAAATTTCACATATTAATTTCACGTGTTAATTTCACATGTTAATTTCACATGTTCCTTTCACGTTAAAATTTCACATATTAATTTCACGTGTTAATTTATGAGTTTGTTTCACGTCTTCATTTCATAGATTAATTTCACGTGTTATTTTAACATGTTAATTTAACGTTTTTTTAATTCCACATTTACTGAGCAGATTGCGACATACATTGCCTTTCGTTTTTCTACGATATGTACATAGACGTGTTTTCCTACTGATACAAATGTCATTAGGTACCATGGAGACCACACTCTAACTTATGTATAGTTAAACAGCTGAAACTAATCCACTGTCTGCACAACACTCAATACACGCCGTTACGACTAGTTATCAATAGAGCATGTAATATATAAAGTGTTTCCAATTGCATTGACATACACCACAGCAAATGACCTGTAAGTCGATATTGATCAGACAGATCCTTTATTCTTGTGATGGATCGATTATAATTCCAGTCGGCAGGTGATTGCTTTTAGCCAGTTTGTCATGGTTACCGATGATCAAATACGTTTCGTGATTGTCGTTATTAGCCATGTGGGACAAAATATTAACTGATCTCCATCCGTGTGTTGATTGTGGTGAGAGTGTGAGAATTTGATATGGCATGCTACGTGAAAATATCAGTGGTCACCATAGGTTTAATCATATCACTGGTAAGAGCTGATACGGTAACCAGGGACGTGATAAGTCATTTGAGGAAGGATCTTCTTGCACAACAAGATAATGCTGTTCCTCCGTTCAAAGGAAACTCGAAATCAGTAGACGTTTCACTGTCCTTCACCCCAGTCACGATCCTAGACTTGAACTCAGTCACCCAAATGTTGTCTGTGACTGGATATCTCAAGGTAAGCTGGCTTGACTCGAGACTCACTTGGAATGTTCACAATCATTCAGATGTCCGATTGATGGAGGTAAGAAGTGGCGACATATGGACACCCACTATTTCTGTTGGCAACAGTGTATCAGACATGAATCCAGTGGAAACTCAGCTACCTGTTGTTGTCATGCCCCAAGGGAACATCATCTGGCAAGTATTGGATGTATTTCGAACTGTGTGTAAAATAAACGTGTCACGATTTCCTTTCGATACTCAACACTGTAAGATTGTGTTTGCTCCTTCGTATGGATACAATGTCAAGATCATTTTTAATGACGAAGAAGTTCCAGGCAAAGATAAACTGGACGAAAATGGGGAATGGAAAATGCTTAGCGTGTCCCAGAACCTCTCATCAATACAAACATTTGAAATTGCCGAATACATGCTCACATTGGAAAGGAAATATGTTTACTATTTCATTAACTTTCTCTTCCCCATGGGCCTCATGTCCATCCTTAACCCATTCGTGTTCCTCATCCCAGCTCGGTCTGGGGAGAAACTTGGCTTCTTGATGGCTGTGTTTGTTTCTCATACAATGTTCCTGAGTCTGATCCACGGCAACATGCCGCCCACTTCGGACCGCACATCCAGGCTCTCTCTGTACCTGTTGATGAACGAGATCCAAGGATTCCTCACCATCTTTGCTTCTATCATTGTGCTCGTGGTTCATCACCAGAAAGAGGAGGCCCAGACCAACACAACATCCTCGGACACAAAATCTGAACCTTGCGGATTCCGTGACTGGGAACGTTTTATTGACTGTGTATTATTTGTCGTGTCACTGATAATGGCTGGGGGCAGTATCTTGATTCTGTGTATATAGTTTAATCACTGAATTATGAAATCTAATAATTGCTTCATTGACAGAATTATGTGGACCTCGGGGAGGGGGTGGGATGTTGCAAAGCAAACAACTCCATTAACACCGCACAGCTAAGCTCAGAACCTTTCGGCCACCCCTTTGCTAAATTGAATTTCGAAGAACCCTAGTAGCTGGAATAGCGTGGACGTGTCAAAACTGCGACTTATATGTGTATAAATAGATATGTGACTGCGTGCACCTGATGCAATAGCTGTAAGGGGTTCATTAACAATATCACAAACAAAGCAATGCACCCGTGCAGAAATCTAAACCCTTTACAAAACCAGGTGATTTGAAAATTTCAGGTCAAGTTGACCTTCATTTAGATTTTCAAAATGTATTATGTGTGTCATGTATTACAAACAACTCATGGTTGTCACTAAGTACTGAAGTATATTTGTTGTTGAATGTGGTAAAAAAGATCTTGTATTTTGGCTTGCAACATGGTCTTTATTTTTGTAATATACAGAAAGAAAAAAGTTAAGCACACGCTAATATATTTCATTATTGTTTGGTCCCAATATTTGTAACAGTCATGAAAGATATAATTACGGGAAGAATTATGTTTCCTCGAGATGATGTAATGAGTCATGCGTGTCGAAAGCTCACGTGCCATGCATGGTGTGCCCGTGCAGCATGCTACCCTCGAGTATCTCTAAAAGCAGTACATGTATATCCAAACGTTAAAATTGCTTTCTTTAGCTCGGTTTTAAACAGATATTCCATGAAATTGTGTGACCATGGCACGAAGGCGATTATCAAACAAGATGGCAAATAATCGGCATGCAGGAATGTCTTGTCATGCCATTGGTCGGAATTTGGGGTATCATCACACTGTCGTAAGCCATTTAGTCGAGAAACATGCCCAGACCGGTGATGTACAGAACCGTCCCAGATCCGGAAGACCTCCTGTGACGACACATCGCGAAGACAGGGACCTTCTTCGTCTCATACGCCGAGAACCCTTTTAAACAAGTACTCGTCTAAAACAGCTGTGGTTGCCCAATCGTCGTTTCAGCACCAGAACCGTCAGGAACCGACTGAAAGCAGCAGGACTGAGGGCTAGACGAGTCATAAAGCGTCCCTTGTTGAGATATCACCACAAAGATGCTCGTTTAGCATAGTGTATTGCGCGACAGAACTGGAATCTGAGAACTTGGAGACGGATCCATTGGTCAGACGAAAGTCGGTTTCTGCTCCACGTCACTGATGGAAGACCGAGACTTTGGAGGCACCGAAACACGGCCTACACCCCCAGGAATATTAAACCGACTGTTGCATACGGCGGGGGCTCGGTAATGGTTTGGGGGTGTATCTCTCATGATTGCTTGGATTTGGTCACCATGAGGGGCAACTTAACAGGGGCTCAGTACATCCGGGACGTTTTGAGGCCAGTCGTCGTTCCTCATTTTGACAACCACCCTCTTGCTACTCGACGTCAGTACATGGATGACAATGCCAGGCCTCATCGTTCGCATGCAGTCGTGGATTACATGATTTCCAATGCAATAACGACTCTACCCTGGCCAGCAATGAGCCCAGATGTGAACCCCCTTGGGATATTCTGGGGCGGCGCATACAGGCACGAGATCATCCTGTATTCACGCCAAATGAAAGCAGCATTGCATCAGGAGTGGTTGTTGTTGACCAATCAACAGATCCAACGTCTGACTGGAGGCATGAGACGTAGGGTGAAATGCGTCACCCGGGCACGTGGCGGTTATAACCGCTACTGATCTGTTTCACGTGTCATGTCTAGGAGAGACCTTAAGGAACATGAAACATCAAACGTAACTCGTTTACTTAATCCTGGAGCTCCATACTTTTTTTGGTATTGTCTAAGGTCAAAAACAGTACCTGTGTTACCATGTTTTTGTCAGTAAATGTCAATCACCACTCATCAATATCTTCTTTATGTGTTGTCAAATGTTTGTTCTCTCCGATGACATTGGTATTGCCCAGCTCCTGCCGTCAGTCATCCGATGCCATGATTTTTGCCATTTGTCATGGTTCAGAAATAGGGTGTGCTTAACTTTTTTCTTTGTGTATATTTGATTTGGTGCACTCAACTTAGTAAACTATTTTTCCTATATTTTCTTCTGGTTTGTCATTATTCCAGCAGTACCAAGCCGGGAACCATGCACAGAATCAAAGCCGGGTGTTTGCCGCGACACGTCTATATCCATTAGATTAGACAATATTCGACACATTGATAATTTGCCGGAACCAGATGATCAGTTTGACGCAATCGAGCGCTCGACAGAATGCATATATACATACCTTGGGTTTGTCTAGATTCCCGAGAAGTAGCCTTAATGGATAATGAGTGAATGTTGTTTTACGTTACAGTGAGCATCCGTTCTTGTGACAGCGGACAGCGAATATATTGTGTAATCTATTTTATCGCAAAATCCCAACACGCAGTCAACTAGAGTCGGCGAGTCTGATCAACCCATCCACTTAGTCGCCTCTCACAAGCACAATAAGGCAACTGGGGATCACATCTAGCCCGGAATCCCCACAATATGGAATGACATCATGACAAGGTTAACTCTTCAAGGGAATTTTATCCGGATGGGTTGTCTTTAAAAGTGTTCGAGCGCAGATAGAACACAATTTAAGGTATATTTATAAGACACTTCCGGGTCTATTACGGTTGCATTCACTCTTAAAGGGTGTACTCTAGATAATAATAATAATAATAATAATAAAACACTTCCAGGTATACTACGGATTGATTGACTCGTAAATGGTGTATTCTAGGTAATAATAAAACACTTCCAGGTCTAATACGGTTGCATTGACTCTTAAAGGGTGTATTCTGGATTATAATAAAACACTTCCAGGTATACTACGGATTGATTGACTCTTAAAGGGTGTATTCTGGATTATAATAAAACACTTCCAGGTATACTACGGATTGATTGACTCTTAAAGGGAGTAGTCTTGAAAATAATAAAACACTTATTTTTAATAAGTATATTGCTGATTGGCTGTTTCTGAACAGTATTTGATAAAGATAAAGTATACGGACAACTTTATGGATAACAACTTCTGGTTTATTACATGTAGCGACGTTTCGATGTAGATTCTTACACCATTATCAAGCTAGAGTATTATCAAAAGTATTATTTAGACTTCCACACTTCCACATATCACACAGATGAGCTGACGCTTACAGGTAAGTCGTAGGGTGTCATTAACACACTTTGGGGTATCTTACGGATGGGTTGACTCGGGACTCTTCGGGTGGTAATAAATATCCTCAATCAACTACTTCAGATTACAGTCTGATAACTTCGCTATATCCAACTTTGTTATGATGGAGTTCAGCCATACATACCTACACCGACATGCCGCTTAGTTTAAGTGCCACTTAGTTTAGGGGTTTTAACTTATACGTTCCTTTATATAAATGTCATGTCGAGAGCATATTGAGAGCTTGTTTACTTTGACTGTACGACTCTTGTTCAGAAGTTGTTTGATCAAGGTTACAACATTCAAGGCCTTAGTAAAGCTTTGAAAAGGTTTTATGGCAAGCACGTGGAGGACATTTCCAAATCTGACGCATCAGTGACAAAAAAGATGTCCAATGCAATTCCCTATTTTCACTTTACTATGTGTTCCCATGTTGTTTTTTCAGGTGAACAATTGACTTGCCCTTGCATGTGTTTTGACGGGTGCCACCACTGGGGCAGGATACGCCCACCTTTTCGCGAACACCTGGTATCATTACTATTTGATAGTGATTCGTAAACACAGGCTCATGATATAGTCGGAATCGAACAATCGACTCTGCTATGTGCAGACATTTCTATTGGATATGGAAAGGGTTTGATCGCTTTATTTGAATTCAGAGCTCAAATCTAAAGTCACATCGGTCGTGTTTCAGCCATAACGTGACTATTATAAGGTATACATTAATCATCATTACATTTAGATTCCATAAAAACCTGTCAACAAAGGACAGTAAAATAACTAGACTATGACAGATTTGTATTTAAAACTAGCATGTAAATATCCAAAAATATATCACTATACATAACAGCCTATGATAAAGGCGGGCTATAGATCCCAAGCAACCAAAGTTAGGCCGCCACACTGGAGCACCATGAGGAGTAACGGTACCTGTGCTACCTCCATCCCTAGCAGGATTTACACCATCCCTCCAGTTGCTGGCGGGTGTCATCAAATTTAGCGAATTAACGCAAGCAATTATTATTAGATTAAAATAGTAGTCAGAATAACCTTATTTTGAATGATGTGGTCTTATATAAACTTTGAATAGTTAGTTTACATATATAACGACAACTGTACAGCAGCCCCGTCGCTGCGTTAGTCATATGATCGTCTTAACTCACGCGTCACGCGCAGATGGGGGATGATTCATTGCAAGGGGCATGTGCTCTATTTATAGGCAGCTACACATTACACATTGAAGTGTTTCCCATATGACGTGGTGACAAACATATACGATTATGTATTGTAGGGTGCCCCGTGGTTGACGTCTTCGCTCACCACGCCGATCTCATGGGTTCGATTCCCAACATCCATTTTTTGGTTTCTCCAGTGGCAGGAGTACTGCTAGGCAACAGACACACACTTACAAACAGTGAGTGATGGGTGCTACGGGTGGAGCAGGACACCCTTGCTCGCACCTGGTGTCATCGCTGATTTTCAGTGATCCATTCATATGATTTCACCACTGTTTAACCTTAAGTTCTCAAAGGATTCTTTTTCGGCGGATGATCGAGGCTTGTTGCTCCCTGCCGTTGACGCTTTATATTTAGATATAACATTATACACAAAACGAGGATCTTACAATGGCATTTATTCTATTTACAAATGGCGTTAAACCTGTACATCTAAGATGAGGTGAGGTGAAATTGGGTTTAACGTCACATCCAAGATTATTGCACTTATATAGCGACGTTCATGTACGTGTGTGTGTTTGTGTGGCAGCTTGTACTAGTCCGGACTGATGCCGATTTATAGTGCTAGCCCACTGAGATACCATGCCGCAGTTTAACATGAATACCCAACTCAGACACAGTATACTGAATCCGAGCCGACCAGTCCTTGTTGTAGCCCCTTAATACCGAGCGCCAGACAGGGTAACAACAAGTACCATCTTTTAAAGTCTTTTGGTATGACGCGGCAGGGGATATAACCCCGGACCTCGGAGACAGTCTGTACATCTAAGACATGTGTATATAGAGATTGATGTGAGCAATACGTCACCGAAACCTCGGCAGACTATGAAATAGTCGAGTTTGGACCAGACCAAACCATGGTTGATAAAATGAGCACCTGGCATCGCCACTGAGGTGTTGATTGTTGATCGTTATAGCATGCATTTGATCAAGGGATCTTCGCACGGTTGAGAGGCTTCTTCGAATGTGCGGCCCATACAAGCGAGAAAATTAAATGCGTGGCCCAGCGGTATATCACACTACATTTTGCAGCGAAGAGTTACATCCCTTAACCAGGCCAGGATCTTCCCTGATTGCCGTTATTCTCCTATCAGCACCACATCCCTGCTCATATGTTTCACAAAGGTGGTAAACATCAACAACAAGCCATAACATAACTGAAAACCTAAGGCATATATCACGAGACATCAGAATTAGTACTTATCTGAACGAATATGTATGACAGACATGAGAGCATCTGGCCACAAACCTACCCACTGTTCCAGCACAGGGCAGATTACTGGCGACCACAGGGGAACAGTTCAGAGTAAGATGGAGGGAGGTCTGCGATGACGTCATTGACGGCGTCATACGGTGGGGGGTGAGAGTGTGTGCTAGATAGAGACTGAGGGGGAAAGATGTGAGAGGGTGATGAGGATTCTGGATTCGGGAAGGATTCATGAAGAGGTGGAGCTGTTGGCACGCATCTCTCTAGCACATCATCGACAGGAAGAGCTCGCCAATTTCTACACTTGTCCGTGCATTTATGTTCTTTCAAAACCCTATTGATTCCGTCAACTCCTCTGTCGGTATCTCCGTACGTCCTGGACACAGAATGAACAGTTGGTTCTGTAAGATGGAACACACCATTAGCTCCCACGGCCCCTCGGAGTCCACAGAGGACACGCTCTCCGCGGGATTCGTGAAATGAGAAGTGGATCAACTCGTCCAAAGCCCTGCAGTCCTTCCGGCTCCTTCCCACACTGTCCACAAACACACTCTCTTTACCAAACACCTCTTCAATGAACACCATCTCCCCCTCTCTCACGTCACGCCCCAGCGTCTTCATCAACCATGTCGTCGCCCTCTTCATCGGCGCTACCATAGACGAACAGGTTGATATGGGAAAGATTTCGTTTTTGTATTCTGCACACATAGATTCAATTACTCTATGTAATTGCTTGTACCTCTTCAAATTAGAGTGCCATGCGTTCTTGTGGGGACATGTCTTTGATAGAGGAATGTTCACAGCCACAATGTCGCCTGTTCCTAACGTGCCATACAGCTGTCCCTTAAAAATCAGCGTTCCTTTTTCTTTTGATACGTCACTTCCGCTATTGTCCAGAATGGCTACTCTGTGTCTGTGAGGCGTTGTGGGATAGGTAGAACTGTGTTTCCAGTTCAGTAGACCCATATTGAATTTCCTTCTGTATAAATGTAAACGAACATGTAGATATATTAGATACATGGGACATTTTACAGGTTTAAACAAGGTCTATATGATACCATGGGGCAAGAGTGGATAAGTTGTACGAGGAGCCGAAATTCGATCCAAAGAGTTGCCCCCCTTTTGCGTGCCAGAAGCCTGTGAAGGTGGGTTGGAACCCAGATTCACCCTAATTATGTTTCTAGGTTTGTGAGGACCATACCCGTGCTTGTGGGTTTCAGGTAGAGGTAAGAGGTAAACGTCCACGACCTGCATCACTTCAGACTTTCTTCCCACATCAAGAGGGCTCGCCGTAATATAGTTCAAAATGGCGTTAAAACTCACCCACTCACCAAAACACCCACTCACTCACAAAGCATTTGATAATATTGGAAACATTTGTCATTTATATACAGAAAATATATAAGTTTATAATATTAATTATATAGTAATTGTGTTATGAATAAACATGACTATTATTATTGATGATGGCACGTGTAAGATAATGATCAACACATAAGAGAGGACAAACTATTATATTGTTAAATAATAAGTGTTTATGTAATCTTGTGTCAAGAATACTGCTTAAACAACAGATGCCAAGCGAAATTAAAATAAGGTGAGACAAAATAATATTCTTAATGCTGTACATTTCAAGTAGTCGTTTTAAAATTGTTCAATCCATTATTCAAAAATTGAATACAATTTGAATTACATTATTTTGAATTTTCTCAAATGAAAGAAAAATATACGATTTGTATTTCTATATTTCAAGACGCATGTACATGTTGGTTGGTTGGTTTGTTGTTTAACGCCGCACTCGGCAATATTCCATCTATATGAGGGCGGTCTGTAAATAATCGATAAACAAACACCTTACCTCTATTGCTTCCTATTGCCTCAGCATGCTTCCGTCGAAATACTCTAACCATACCATAACATACACAGCTCTTTTATATAAACGCGTTTCATGACGTGTTGTATGTTTACATGCAAAAATAAACACAACTCATTCTTTTCTCTAGTTCTCAGAAATAAACGCATGTGAACATTGCGATGCGGTTACTCGCAGATCAAATCAATGCGCATTTGTTGTCATGGTCTGTTTACTCAAAGTTTCAATTTCCTTTAAGTATGGCTATCAATAAATCTTCACTTCTGTTGCTAACACAGGTAGCAACAGTGACAGACTTACGTGGAATCTATTATTTTATTGAGTCGTATCACCACCCTGCTATATTACTGCCACTACTTCGGGATTCCGGGTAAGAATAGATCCCCAACAACCTATGCTTGTCGTAAAGAGGCGACTTTACCTCGGGGGTCGGGCTTGGTGACTTGTGTATCATCGTACCCCAACTGCGTGGATCTTTGCTCATAATATCAGTCACTTGATTGCCTGATCCAGACTCGATTATCTATGATTACAGACTGTCGTCATATTGCTAGAATATTGCCGATTACGGCGAGAACAACCAACAAAAAAACCACAAATCATAATAGTCAGTCAGCATCCCAACTGCGTTCTCAGCTCCCTGAGGAGTATACGTCACAATCGCGATATAAATGAAAGTTTTAAGTCCACGTGCGCAGGTAAATGATTCAATGCAAAGGGTGTACAAAGTGTGAACTTTGGTTCTACCACTGGTGTTCTCTATGTTCGGGCACAGCAGTGCTTGTCTTTAATTATCACAAGCGCCCAATAATGCACATCCTTTGTAATAACTCTTTTCTACATATTTTGCCGAACGTGACATTTGTTTGCATATATAGATAAATACAACACATTTAGTTTTCACATGTAAAATAAATTATTATACGCACCTCGCGAGAAGGGTATTTATAAAACCAACACTGATTTAAGTATATCGGCTGTACGAACACCAAAATATATATATGAAACATGCCGTGTACCTATATATGTTTTGACACCCCATCCCCCATTCCCCATCCCCCCAGCTGGGTATTTCCACCAACTGCATGCATCAGCTGAGTTGAAATGCATTTATGTAGGCCAATATCAATTTGTAGTTGTGAGCTGAAGGCTGCAGTAGACTGTCTATATATAGACAGATTGGCTTTACCCAGCGGAGCAGACAAACCATGACAACTGAATCGATGCTATTTTAAGACATTATGGTTCATTTATGCTTTTTTCGAGAGGTTGTTAAACGTGCTTAGTGAATGTGCATTCTACGATTATGTTGCTCCTATACAAACCGCCATGGTGTTTCAGTGACGAGTACGCCGTCACGCTAGAGAAACGTCTCACCCACAGAGGATCCGTTATTGTCAAAAGCTGAATCGCTTGGGCAAGAGTATACACACACGTGAACTCGAAATATAGGAAACTACACACACGATTGCATTAAGGCGTATTGACAAAGATAAACCAACTGATAGTATTGTTTTACGTATCCTGTTTATTTCAATATGAGTTCTTAATTTTCATTGATCTTGTGTGGTTGTTTGCTGATTTCAAAATTTAGTTCTGTTCATTTGTTCATTACGATTTCTCGGGGGAGCGGGGGGATGGGGGGCGGGGGGGGGGGGGGCGCGAAATCCGCCACAACCATGCATCAGTACTATCAACTTTTGACTTGACTCTAAAACCTGAAGACATGTCCATTCCTCTGCTGTACTTGATTCCAAAGCTCCATGACAATCCATACAAGGAGACATATATTGCTGGGTCCGGCAAATGCACCAACAAATCCCTGTCTCACAGATTAACCACAATCCTTAATACAATCAAGGAAGGACTTGAACCAAGTGGCATTTGTACAACGTGGATTCTCAAAAACTCTCAAAAGAATTTTTGTTCTCAGAAAAGAAGCAACTTCAATTATATCAAGACATTTTATTTTTCAACTTTGTACGCCACTATCCCACACGACAAACGTAAGGAAAAACTTCATTTCTTGATCCATCTGGCTTTTGTTACAAAATCCGGTGACCCCAGATATAGCTACGTCTCTACCTACAAAGGTGGAGGACAATTTGTCAAAAATGAAAGCAAATACCATCTCAAGTTTATTCAGTATGTGAAATGCTGGACTTCCTCGTTGATAACATCTGTTGGTAAGACTTTCAGGCAAGAAGTAGGCATCCCCATGGGTACCAGTTGTGCTCCCCTTCTTGTTGACCTGTTTAATGCATATGAATCGGAATGTCTGCTCGGGTTGGCCAAATCAAAACAAGGTCATTTGGCCGAGAAGTTTAACTTAATCTTCAGGTATATCGATGATCTGATATCGTTCAATACCCCTCAAATAGCCAATTCCCTTCCACTGATTTACCTACCTGAACTAGAAATAAAGGAGACCAGTGAGACTGCTCGATCTGTTTCATATTTAGATCTATGCATAAAGATTCAGAGTAACAAAACACTCCACTTCAACTTTCCAATGGTCAACGTTCGCTATATGCAATATTCCTGCAGCTCCAGTCCTTTGAGGTACAATCAAACATGTTCTTTCTACATACGACATCCTTCATACGACTCTGACTCAAGAGTTGTGTGATCGGGATTACAGCATTCAAGGTCTAAGTAAAGCTTTCAAAACGTTTTATGGTAGACATGTGGATATTTCCAAATTGGACGCATCAGTGACAAAACAGTCCCAAACAATTCCCCATTTTCATCAATTCATAATAAGCCACATGTTCCTGTGATTTATCCAGGTGGACAGTTGACTTGCCTTTGCATGTGTTTGTGACGCTTGCCTCCGGTAGGGCAGGATACGCTCAACGTTTCGCAAACACCTTGTGTCATAGCTATTTGATAGTGATTCATAACCAAATGCTCATGAATTAGTCGGAATCCTACAATGGACTCTGCTTGTAGCAGAGATTTGAATGATTATGAAATTGTATTTGTCGCTCTTATTTTAGTAATTACAGTTACATTGTGTTGTTATCTGTTCGTCTTTGCCATTTAGAATAATTCAAGCTGCAGCATAGTTGTTATCGTTCCATGATACCACAGACTTTGTCCGTGACGATACGTAGCCATCATCAGTTTTAGTTAGACGTAATTATTAGTGACTCATACCAACATGAGACATTGGCAGTGTGTAATTAAGGTTGTCATCAACAACACGTGTGTTTACAGACAAACAAAGGGAGATTTGAATGAGTTGATGCATCCAGTGATGATCCTGCCAATTGCCCCAAGCCTAGTTCCTCGCTGTTCTTGCGTCATCACCACTGCAACTGCTCACGGCCGATCTGTTTGTTGACTTGAACTGTAAAGTCAGATTTCCACAGTTGTGTCCACAACAGACGTTGCAGGGATATAGCTCCACCGCACCAGCAGACGTGCGTTGAAGACGCCATGTCGCCATATGATTGGATGTTCAGTTATGCTTGAATAGGAGGAAAATCGCCAGACGTCAATTTTAGGGTGAAAAATCACGAAGAATTTTCGGGGCTCTATGGGTGTACACCACGCATTTCTTTCAGTCACTTGGTTCCAGACACGTCTTTCAATCACTTGGTCCCATACATGTCTTCCAATCACTTGGTCCCATACATGTCTTTCAATCACTTGGTCCCATACATATCTTTCAATCACTTGGTACCATACATGTCTTTCAATTACTTGGTCCCATACATATCTTTCAATCACTTGGTACCATACAGGTCTTTCAATCACTTGGTCCCATACATGTCTTTCAATCACTTGGTCCCATACATATCTTTCAATCACTTGGTCCCATACATATCTTTCAATCACTTGGTCCCATACATGTCTTTCAATCACTTGGTACCATACATATCTTTCAATCACTTGGTACCATACATGTCTTTCAATCACTTGGTCCCATACATATCTTTCAATCACTTGGTACCAAACATGTCTTTCAATCACTTGGTCCCATACATGTCTTTCAATCACTTGGTCATATACATGTCTTTTAATCACTTGGTCCCATACATGTCTTTCAATCACTTGGTCCCATACATATCTTTCAATCACTTGGTCCCATACATATCTTTCAATCACTTGGTACCATACATATCTTTCAATCACTTGGTCCCATACATATCTTTCAATCACTTGGTCCCATACATATCTTTCAATTACTTGGTCCCATACATATCTTTCAATCACTTGGTACCATACATGGCTTTCAATCACTTGGTCCCATACATGTCTTTCAATCACTTGGTCCCATACATATCTTTCAATCACTTGGTCCCATACATATCTTTCAATCACTTGGTCCCATACATGTCTTTCAATCACTTGGTCCCATACATATCTTTCAATCACTTGATCCCATACATGTCTTTCAATCTCTTGGTCCCATACATGTCTTTTAATCACTTGGTCCCATACATGTCTTTCAATCACTTGGTCATAGACATGTCTTTTAATCACTTGGTCCCATACATATCTTTCAATCACTTGGTACCATACATATCTTTCAATCACTTGGTACCATACATATCTTTCAATCACTTGGTCCCATACATGTCTTTCAATCACTTGATCCCATACATGTCACGTCAAAATTTAACCAGGACACCTTGACATGCAAATTATTAAGGTTATACTATTCCCCCTTCCTAGTTAGGCTTAGAACGTTTCAGCTACGTATCAACTTGATGTACTGAAGGTTGCAAAGGTCCACGTGGGTTGTACATATCAGAAAGAGTTCAAGACAAAAGCATAATCCAAGACTTCATCTTACCATATATTTATACTAGCTAGATTATCGAACAAGAACTATTTCCGTTAATCAGTGACTCCAGATTTTGACGGACTTGACCGCCATGGCGGCCTTCTCGCCCTTCCAGGTGGGGTACCATTGGTCCTTGGCCTCCCAGAATGCTTTGTTAGACTGACCAGCTGTCGGACACGTGTTGCACCAGGGTTTGGGGTAGGGGGAGTTCTGGACGTTGTCGGGGAAGAAGCCGAGGGTGCCGCCGACAGCAACGTTCATTTGGAAGTGGAACTGAAAGAGCGGTTACGTGACCATCAGTCTGTGTCATTTGTTGCATTTGAACTATCTACGCCATCGATATACGTCAAGTATTGCAAACAATTATTCTTTCTGAGATGGTTTTAATAAATAGAAAGTAATTTAACTGATGAAGGGTTCATTGAGCGCATTCAAGAGAAAAACATATTCTCAGATTTATGGTTGTTGTTGAGTAAAAACCCTGAAAATATACTTCGGAACAAACGTCATTTTAAGACAAACGTTATCTGGAGTGTTTGACATGAGTACTCAAACAGCTGCGACATAGACATGGCCTATCTTCGTTATTTAATGAAGTCATGATACAGTTTGGGACTTCATCAATCTCATTAAAATCAGATCTAAGTTCTCGCTGCCGCTAAACAAAGATCTGAGGACATCCCCATTACGGGTCACGTCAGACCGACCTTCCGCGAACTTTGACCGACGACTGAAACGACTAACAAGAAGTCGTCATCAGCCAGTTAGAAAGCAGCTTTCTCGAGCTTTTCGGCACTCGTTTCAACCTGGCGACTTCCATTTCAGACTACGCTTGAAAAATATGTTGACACATATTCACATATGTTCTCGATTAAAATTTTGAAAACTGAACAAACGAACATTCCGGAATATCGAATATATGGTTGCGATTGTATGGCCGTGCTTCCCACGTACTGTGCAACGCCTCCTCCGTTCAAATGTTTATCCCACGGAAGTGAGAGACAGACGATAAGTTTGACGGAATCGGTTGTACGGGCCGTAACTGTCGTTCCATCTTCCCGAGGCAAGGGCAACTGAGTATTAATGTCCAGTTTCCACCCTTGCCGAACTAGGCTGGTATTATGGAGTTACATTTTGGCTGGACTAACAAGTCTATGCATAGTCCAATCAAAATTGCGCAACGAAATCGAAGATGCTGTCGTTCGGAATATCCCGTGTTAACGTTTTCAAGGTTGCATGATTAGAAAACACATTCCGACTGTCACTTTCATGATCTCGTAAGCGATGCTTTGATTGGTCGGGTGAAAGGTCGTTCTGAAGTGACCCGTAATGGGATGTCCTCAGATCTTTGTTTAGCGATAGCGAGAACTAAGGCCTGATTTTAATGAGATTGGAACTTCATATACTTCCAATCCGCCTGTTTGGCAAATTCGTGAGGAAATTCAACCCAAGCTGAACTGTAAGATAAATAACAACTCAAAATGAACTGAATACAATATTCATATCGCCTCGTCAAAGTCGCGAGTCTGACATCCGTTTTGTGGAACAAGGCCGAGCAGATTTCCGGGATTCGGATTCCATCCAGTCGTACTGCTCGTAGTAAAGCCGTTTCTCATTGGGGCTTTATTTGCCTGGAGGAATAGAGGATGTTTTGAGTCTCCATTTTTCCTCAAACCTCACCAGGACCATTCAGGTCTGTTCCCAATCCCACACCTTGGAACCCGCTGTCTGTTAACAACGTATTTCGCCACTTGCCATATTCAAGGTACGTAACTCTGTTGAAATAACATATCTCATCCTCACCTCTTGGTCAAAGGGGGCGTCCTTGCCGTGTCCAGCCCAGGGGTTGATCCCACTGAAGCCCCCGTATCCGTTTGAGGGAGTGGTTCTGTTGAGGATGGCGTCCCCGTCAACGGAGATGCTGCAATGTTATTGGAACCAGCGTTAGGACATACATGTATAGCACACGAAGTGCAGGTGATGCACACCGCCTGTCAATTAGCAGTCAGGGTTTATTCAACCTAGAAAATCAATTCCACTATTTACGAATATTAGTTAAAGCTGAATAGATCAGAAATTATGGTGAGGTGACACTTATATAGTGACATGCATGGGCATGTATTTGGGGCGGTTCGTATTACTCCGGATTAATGTCGGTTTTATAGTGCCAGCCCACTGAGATACCATGCTACAGTTTAACATGGATACCCCACCCAGACACATAACACTGACTCCGAGCCGGCCAGTCCTTGTTTTATCATCATAAGTTCACGCGCCAGGCAGGGTAACATCATGGTCCATCTCTTGACGTGGACATGATGTGACCGGGAATAGAACCTTACGCTCTCGGGACAGACACTCTATCCACTACACCACGGAAGCGGTGTTTTAGAAAGTACAAAAGATTACGATTTCTGCTACGATCCCTAACTATTAGACTATATCAAAAGTTAAATTGGCAGCAAACCTACACAATGCCACTAGCATCCCAGTCCAGAGTGTACGTGTGAAAATCATCAGCCCAGGTGCCGCCGGATGCGTATCTGAAAACAGTTATCTCCCTTGAAACAGGGTCAAATATAACGTTTCACTCAAACTTGAACAGTGAAACTTAAACACGTGTGTGACTATCAGAAATGCAGTTTAGTTCCCTTTAAACTTTATACAAGGTTTGGGGTAGGGTAGGGTGGTGTTCCCCGCATATATGTTGTGTTTGTTTGTTGTTTAACGCCGCACTATTCCAGCTATATGACGGCGGTCTGTAAATAGTCCAGTCTGGACCAGACAGTCTAGTGATTGCCATCATGAGCATCGATCCACGCAATTGGGATACGATGACATGCATCAGCGAGCCTGACTACCCGATCCCGTTAGTCGCCTCTTACGACAAGCAGAGTCGCCTTTCATGGCAAGCATGGGTTGCTGAAGACCTACTCTACCCCCGATCTTCACGGGTCCTGCATATATGTGTCTGGAATATTGTAAATGGCGACGTAAGTTTCTATTCATTCACTAACTCACTCACTCACTTATAGAACATTTCTTGAAACTATTTTGGTATCTTGTCCTCAAAACTGAATCTGGTATCATCTTTGTCAAAATGATGTGCTGAATAGATTATCGTATGTTGTGTATTTCATTTTCAAATATTCAAAGAAGATTTTGGAAGTTTATCTTAATATCGAAAACACATGTCAAAACTTCAGAAAAAATATAAGATATGTTAATATTTTCGGAAATTTATAAGAACATTTTCAGTAAATACACTTTCAATCAGATCCTGCATAGATGGAGTGAGTGAGTTGGGTTTAACGCCGTCTTAACAGTATTCCAGTTATATCACGGCGTGTCAGCGGGTCCCAGACGTTTACCACTTCGGTGAAACCCACGAGCACGGGTATGGTGCTGATAAACCTAGACACATAATCGGGGCGAACCGGGATTCGAACCCACAATCATAGATTTCTGGCGTGCCCAAGGGACGCAACCCTGCACAGCGAATCGCGGCGCCTTAGACGACTGGGCCACCCGTGCCCCCTGCATAGATGGAGATGGGTATTATAGGAACATGGTGATATAATTTGTGAACACATTTTTCTTTCACATCTCAATAGATGTTTATATTTGTATATATGAGGTCATAACTTATCTGAATAAGAGAAAGAAATCAGGGATATCACCGAAAACAACATGAGTGGTAGAAAACAGGAACCATGATTCACCTACTTCCCCTGGGTGGTCTTGGGCCAGCTGTCGCTCCCGGGGTTGGGCCCCCAATGTAGTGTTGACATCACTCTCTGTACCCCGATATTTCCATAGTGAAGGTTACCTGTCAGTCAAATCCATCCTAGTAAGGACAATGTAAGGAAAAGTGACAAAAAATATTATTGTGCTGGTAATTTGCTTTTAAATGCCCTCAAACCGGTTTGTTTTCTAGCAACAATTTTGATATTGTCCGGTAAAGTGTTTCTGTTTTGATATGGGTTCTATAAATATATATATTGTCCGGAATTTAACTGAATTTTCCCTGCCAAAGTTCTTTATGAATTATCCGTCCTATATGAATTCCCAAGGGGGAAAGAACATGCTTTGATAACGGTTTGTTTTTAATCAACAGTTTTGGGTATTTCCCGGTTTCAATCCGTCTTGATATGGGTTCTATTACGAAAAAGATGTCCGGGTTTTAAAGGAACTATTTCCTTGCCGCCATAGTTGCTGGCGTGTGTTTTGAAGATGAAAATACCTGAAACCCAAGCGAACTGGTTATTTTGAAAGTTAATATGTGAATATGTGTTGGTATCATAGTTCTACACTCGTACTTGGGTGAACTGAACCAGTTCAGATATATCTGAACCACTGAGTATGAGTTGATTAGCTCTTTATGTTGGTCACGTGACACTCATGTTACCTGAGAGGTGATATCAAAATGATTTTGAAATTATACTCGATCATAAATAAACTTTTAAAAGCAAGTTTCATAATTGCTGAAAATATATTATTTACTGGATGTTGATATAGAAAATTAGAAGAAAAAAACGTATGTTTAATTTATCGTCAGAGTACATATACAGTTAGCAGGTCTGTGGCCTGTTGTCGAAAAGAAAAAATTGATTGCTTAATACAATATATATATTCTTAATACAAGCATACAAATGTGTCTTTTTAGAGTCTACCGCGTATGAGAACAACGCTAGAGCCTGGTACAGTGACAGTATATTATGACATTTTATATATAGTACCAAATGAGATGTAGCCATGTTTGTCAACAAAAGCACACACGCGCACACACACGCACAAACACACGCGCGCACAAACACACACACGCACACACGCACACACGCACGCACACACACAAGCATACATCGGAAAATCCATAAAATAACCTACTGGTCATCCAATCAAAGGTCATAAAATCACTTGCATTTTATTCATTATAACAATTGATTTAGGTTATCTTTAGGAGACGCTTTTTTCAGAAGTTTTTTTTCATTTATTTTGTTTTTTATCAGGATTTGAATTTATAAGGGTTTTCATGTAATAAAGACCTTTGATGTAGGAAAACATACTTATTAGGTTATATTATTCCACCACTTACACCTTGCTTCCACCATGTCGATTTCGCCGGAAGCTGGCCATCCGCCATACACAAAGGACTTGGGCATCAGCCAGATAGCTGTAAATATAGGCTTATACGGGGTTGTATGATAAAATTGCATTGGCAGTGGGTGCGTCATGCGTGTATAAACACAATGAACTGTTACATGAAGTCCACGTGCTTCTTCATGCGGGTGCAATAGCTGGATAGATGTCACCGGTCGCTTCTTCGTCATGTTTCTGTGGCAAGGGAGTTAACTGACAATTAAAGTTCAGTTTACAAGCGAGTAACCTGACAATTAAAGTCCAGTTTCAAAGGGAGTTAACTGACTATTAAAGTCCAGTTTCCACTGGACCTTTACCGACACTTAACTCCCTTGCCTCGGGAAGATGCTTCTTCGTCAGGGTTGTCAATCACTTTCAACAACGATATATCAAGTAGTTCTCAAAGAGACCACGAAGTAATAAATTGGAGATGAGTGATCACATGTATCCTTTCCTGTCCCGTTAAAGCACTGGTACGAGCCCTCTGTCTGTTTTAGAGCACAACTACGTACCCGAGTTTATGAATAACGCATATCTGTAAAAATCATTCACAATAGACACAAACGTCACTTTCAATTCGACCAAGCCAACTCAGGGCCCAGGGGTCTGTGTAAATCTCGAGGTACATGCAACTCGGGCGGAGGAATACATTATCAGAATATACTGTACCCAAATATTTATTGGTTCCGAGCATTAGCTATCCTCTAACAAGTATTATCAGTGTGAGAGTTGTGTGTGCCCCCAATCTCAATATCAACATCATCGCAGTCAATAATCATAGTACAGGATCCTGCGTTCGGTTTTCGTTAACGCACATATATAGTGACGTGTACTGCAAATCATCAACGGTGCCGACCTGGCCTGGAATATTGCTGAGTGCAGCGGTAAACAACAACAACAAAACAAAGCCTACCTGGCCAGATCCAGTCTCCCTCTGGCATCTTGGCCACGATCTCTACACGGCCGTACTTGAAGTCCACCAGCGAGATGAGCTTGGAGGAGAGGATGGGAGGGATGAGGGCATCCTTGGCGTCCCGCTTACAGCCGTACCACCGAGAGTCAGTGCAGGTACCCCACTGTTCTGTAATAGAGCACAGATTATCCGAAATACAACAGGTGGTGCGTTTGTCAAATATTGAACATGTTTCGTGTCTCGATATACTGGTGCCATGGAGTTTTAGATCTCGAATTGACCTTTACAGGTAAGATGTTTTTTGGTCATTAAACCGTGTTTTGTTGTACATTATAGCTGTAGTTGTTAAGGATTAGGTTTATGACCCTCTCACGGTTTTTTGGATATGGTGTTTACCTTCTTTACAATATTATTTATTTTTTATTTTCCCCACCTACCCCGACTGCGAAATTTCCAGTGATAGAAGCAGTCGTTAAACCCCCAAAACAGTACAGTACAGGATTAGTTAGAGGAGAATTTCCGAAAAGAAACTGTACAAGTGCTATTGTTTGTTAAGTCTATCTTATGTTTGATGTAGCATTGTTTTGATTACAGTGAAGACTAATTGTTAAGTTAAGTGAAAGGTAATTGTTATCATGTCAAATAAATTTCTCTTCTCATGAATAATTTGTTTGTTTTTTTTATCAAGTTTGACTATATAAGAGCCTCAAAATGAATTTCAGGGAATATGTCTAAAACAATTGTTGTTAAATCAGGGAATATGTATAATTCTGAAAATTTTAGGGATTATGTATATTCCCTTAGCGAATCAGACATTAAATATATTCCATGAAAATTTCAGGGATTATACATATTCCCTGATTATACATATTCCCTGTAACATATATACATCAAGTAATGATTTTTCTTGAATGACTCTACGTTGTTATCACACAGTCTTGGTGGATAAGATACGTCATGCTACGATGAAGTTCACACTACTCTGATTGTTAGGTCATGATAAAGGTCATGACTCCACCAATGTAATAAGAAACTAATGACCATGAAGGACTGAAGGTCATGAAGATCGTGCACTGAAGGTCATGATACTCTAAAAGTCATGACACACTGAAGGTCGTGAAACTCTATAGGTCATGACATTCTGAAGTTCATTATATACCGGAGGTCGTAGTACAGTGAAGGTCACCATCAGGTTATGTCATGGTTTACTGAAGGTCGTGAAACTCTATAGGTCATGACATTCTGAAGTTCATTATATACCGGAGGTCGTAGCACAGTGAAGGTCACCATCAGGTTATGTCATGGTTTACTGAAGGTCGTGATACTCTGTAGGTCATGACATTCTGAAGTTCATTATATACCGGAGGTCGTAGTACAGTGAAGGTCACCATCAGGTTATGTCATGGTTTACTGAAGGTCGTGAAACTCTATAGGTCATGACATTCTGAAGTTCATTATATACCGGAGGTCGTAGCACAGTGAAGGTCACCATCAGGTTATGTCATGGTTTACTGAAGGTCGTGATACTCTGTAGGTCATGACATTCTGAAGGTCATTATATGCCGGAGGTCGTAGTACAGTGAAGGTCACCATGCAGGTTATGTCATGGTTTACTGAAGGTCGCGATACTCTGTAGGTCATGACATTCTGGAGGTCATTATATGCCGGAGGTCGTAGTACAGTGAAGGTCACCATCAGGTTATGTCATGGTTTACTGAAGGTCGTGATACTCTGTAGGTCATGACATTCTGAAGGTCATTATATACCGGAGGTCGTAGTACAGTGAAGGTCACCATGCAGGTTATGTCATGGTTTACTGAAGGTCGTGATACTCTGTAGGTCATGACATTCTGAAGTTCATTATATGCCGGAGGTCGTAGTACAGTGAAGGTCACCATGCAGGTTATGTCATGGTTTACTGAAGGTCGTGATACTCTATAGGTCATGACATTCTGAAGTTCATTATATACCGGAGGTCGTAGTACAGTGAAGGTCACCATGCAGGTTATGTCATGGTTTACTGAAGGTCGCGATACTCTGTAGGTCATGACATTCTGAAGTTCATTATATACCGGAGGTCGTAGCACAGTGAAGGTCACCATCAGGTTATGTCATGGAATATTGCTGAGTGCAGCGGTAAACAACAACAACAAAACAAAGCCTACCTGGCCAGATCCAGTCTCCCTCTGGCATCTTGGCCACGATCTCTACACGGCCGTACTTGAAGTCCACCAGCGAGATGAGCTTGGAGGAGAGGATGGGAGGGATGAGGGCATCCTTGGCGTCCCGCTTACAGCCGTACCACCGAGAGTCAGTGCAGGTACCCCACTGTTCTGTAATAGAGCACAGATTATCCGAAATACAACAGGTGGTGCGTTTGTCAAATATTGAACATGTTTCGTGTCTCGATATACTGGTGCCATGGAGTTTTAGATCTCGAATTGACCTTTACAGGTAAGATGTTTTTTGGTCATTAAACCGTGTTTTGTTGTACATTATAGCTGTAGTTGTTAAGGATTAGGTTTATGACCCTCTCACGGTTTTTTGGATATGGTGTTTACCTTCTTTACAATATTATTTATTTTTTATTTTCCCCACCTACCCCGACTGCGAAATTTCCAGTGATAGAAGCAGTCGTTAAACCCCCAAAACAGTACAGTACAGGATTAGTTAGAGGAGAATTTCCGAAAAGAAACTGTACAAGTGCTATTGTTTGTTAAGTCTATCTTATGTTTGATGTAGCATTGTTTTGATTACAGTGAAGACTAATTGTTAAGTTAAGTGAAAGGTAATTGTTATCATGTCAAATAAATTTCTCTTCTCATGAATAATTTGTTTGTTTTTTTTATCAAGTTTGACTATATAAGAGCCTCAAAATGAATTTCAGGGAATATGTCTAAAACACTTGTTGTTAAATCAGGGAATATGTATAATTCTGAAAATTTTAGGGATTATGTATATTCCCTTAGCGAATCAGACATTAAATATATTCCATGAAAATTTCAGGGATTATACATATTCCCTGATTATACATATTCCCTGTAACATATATACATCAAGTAATGATTTTTCTTGAATGACTCTACGTTGTTATCACACAGTCTTGGTGGATAAGATACGTCATGCTACGATGAAGTTCACACTACTCTGATTGTTAGGTCATGATAAAGGTCATGACTCCACCAATGTAATAAGAAACTAATGACCATGAAGGACTGAAGGTCATGAAGATCGTGCACTGAAGGTCATGATACTCTAAAAGTCATGACACACTGAAGGTCGTGAAACTCTATAGGTCATGACATTCTGAAGTTCATTATATACCGGAGGTCGTAGTACAGTGAAGGTCACCATCAGGTTATGTCATGGTTTACTGAAGGTCGTGATACTCTGTAGGTCATGACATTCTGAAGTTCATTATATACCGGAGGTCGTAGTACAGTGAAGGTCACCATCAGGTTATGTCATGGTTTACTGAAGGTCGTGAAACTCTATAGGTCATGACATTCTGAAGTTCATTATATACCGGAGGTCGTAGCACAGTGAAGGTCACCATCAGGTTATGTCATGGTTTACTGAAGGTCGTGATACTCTGTAGGTCATGACATTCTGAAGGTCATTATATGCCGGAGGTCGTAGTACAGTGAAGGTCACCATGCAGGTTATGTCATGGTTTACTGAAGGTCGCGATACTCTGTAGGTCATGACATTCTGGAGGTCATTATATGCCGGAGGTCGTAGCACAGTGAAGGTCACCATCAGGTTATGTCATGGTTTACTGAAGGTCGTGATACTCTGTAGGTCATGACATTCTGAAGGTCATTATATACCGGAGGTCGTAGTACAGTGAAGGTCACCATGCAGGTTATGTCATGGTTTACTGAAGGTCGTGATACTCTGTAGGTCATGACATTCTGAAGTTCATTATATGCCGGAGGTCGTAGTACAGTGAAGGTCACCATGCAGGTTATGTCATGGTTTACTGAAGGTCGTGATACTCTATAGGTCATGACATTCTGAAGTTCATTATATACCGGAGGTCGTAGTACAGTGAAGGTCACCATGCAGGTTATGTCATGGTTTACTGAAGGTCGCGATACTCTGTAGGTCATGACATTCTGAAGTTCATTATATACCGGAGGTCGTAGCACAGTGAAGGTCACCATCAGGTTATGTCATGGTTTACTGAAGGTCGTGATACTCTGTAGGTCATGACATTCTGAAGTTCATTATATACCGGAGGTCGTAGCACAGTGAAGGTCACCATCAGGTTATGTCATGGTTTACTGAAGGTCGTGATACTCTGTAGGTCATGACATTCTGAAGGTCATTATATGCCGGAGGTCGTAGCACAGTGAAGGTCACCATGCAGGTTATGTCATGGTTTACTGAAGGTCGTGATACTCTGTAGGTCATGACATTCTGAAGGTCATTATATGCCGGAGGTCGTAGTACAGTGAAGGTCACCATGCAGGTTATGTCATGGTTTACTGAAGTTCGCGATACTCTATAGGTCATGACATTCTGAAGGTCATTATATGCCGGAGGTCGTAGTACAGTGAAGGTCACCATGCAGGTTATGTCATGGTTTACTGAAGGTCGTGATACTCTGTAGGTCATGACATTCTGAAGGTCATTATATGCCGGAGGTCGTAGTACAGTGAAGGTCACCATGCAGGTTATGTCATGGTTTACTGAAGGTCGTGATACTCTGTAGGTCATGACATTCTGAAGGTCATTATATGCCGGAGGTCGTAGTACAGTGAAGGTCACCATGCAGGTTATGTCATGGTTTACTGAAGTTCGTGATGCACAAAAGGTCATGATACATATTTAACTTCACAAAACACATAAGGTCATCAAAGCGGGGAAGGTCACACTGTGGAGCCCTTTGTAGTAAAATCAGAATACAGTCGTAATATATTCAAGGTCATATATTTCTTAATTCACATTATGACAGGGGTCATAATGTAAATCTCCGAGACTCACTCTGAACATCCAGTACGCCGTGGTAGAGGAAGTCGTTGCCAAACTTATCTGCCGTCAGCGTCTGAAGCATAAACGAACATAAAGTCCCTGACATAATATTATGTACAAAGGTAAAATAAAAATGATTCTCTTAGTCTCTTAGTTTTAGGACTTAGTTGAAAAAGTGATGTGTATAGGCTGCTAGAGCTGAAATATGGATGAGTATAGGCTGCTAGAGCTGAAAATCTGATGAGTATAGATTGCTAGAGCTGAAAAGTGGATGAGTATAGGCTGCTAGAGCTGAAAAGTGGATGAGTATAGGCTGCTAGAGCTGAACATTGGACGAGTATAGGCTGCTAGAGTCGAAAAGGGGATGAGTATAGGCTGCTAGAGCTGAATTTCACACTCAGAAACAGATAGCTACGTCTAACTTAAATATTAAATATTAAATATATGTTAATATTGACACCGGGAGACACCACAAAATTCCAAAATCTAAAAGGATATGTACCGTAATTGGCATAATAAGCGCCCAGGGCGCTCTCAAAATTAGGAATATGGGGCTCTTATTAGAATATTATTTTGGTGAAAAACAACAGTTGAAAGATCATAAATTTCGTGTTTTTTACTGACAGCCTAAAATGTTTATATACGTCAGATATATTTTCCAGAATTTAATTTCCCATAGCTAAGAACGTGTCCATTTATTAGGTTCAAATAAGTTATTTTATATTTCAAAATAGCGTTCAAGATCAGAAATGTACAGAAATGAAACACGTGAATCTATTTGTAAAATGATGCTGTACTGTATTGTATACTTCATGTATTGGGCCTATCGCCTTTCTTACAACAAACATTTGAAGTGAAACAGAAACCTAAGTAAATCAGATCATTGATATACTGATATATTGGTAGTCATCGAGCGTTCACTCCAGGCGCTGCTTAATCCGTATTGTGCTTTTTTCATGCGCACGGGAGTTTATAAACATAAGTCCTAACTAGCAATTATGACATCTGAGCCCTGTACAGAAAAGGAATTTCATTGGGAATTTGGTCACGTGCTGCCTCGGGTCTTCCAGCCTTTGGATGTTACTTGATGGTTTCCTGTATGTATAATTGTTGCAGAGACTGGCAGTTGTCGACGACTCACTGGCTTCATATAGAGGACGCCGTTCCTGATGTAGGTGTTCTCCTTGTCGGGCGTGTAGACTTGGAACTCCCAGTTCTGGTGGAACAAAAACACATGTTAGGCATGTGGGTATCCCTTTTGAGTTATCAGTGAGTGGGTATCGGAGAATATGGTTCGTTATGTTGAAGATTAGTATCTCCGACTGCAGTTGTTAAATGATGCTTTGACTCCTAAAGTAACACAGGTTCTGCATGGACTACATGACATAGCTAAAACGTAATATCACATTTAAGTTCAACTTGTCTACAGTTATGTATGATCCGATTACATTGGAATCATAATAAGGATCATATTCGTAGTGATCATATTGTGACTTGTGAGAAACACATTTCTGAAACCTCTTATCATTTTCTTTTATTTTTTAAAGTGTACAAATATTTTGTAAAAATTTAAACTGAGGGCAAGGAATGGAAAGGGCTCTTTTATGGGGACATATTAAAACACTAAATCAATTTTGATTTTTGATGATTTAGGTTTTCAGAAGTGATTCTTCTAATATTAGAACATGAGCAACTCTTTGTCACACGCTGATTTTCATACGAATATATATAATCAATAAAAAGTGCCAAATCCTGTCCATAATCATAAGAAGAGTATAAACATTTGGTATAAAAATTATCATGGGTCAAGTACTTGCACGTACAATGTCGTTATATACATGAAAAAAATTACATTCAACAGAAAACTGTTAATACTGTTTCAGACATGTCCCTGGCGATGAAATACACATTGCTAGTACAGTGACCCACCCCGCCCCCGAACGCTGACACTTCCTGTTTCCACTTGCTGCTGTCGATAGTGCCGGAACTGAAGTCGTCACTGAAGATGAATTTCATGTTACCGAGGTTTGTGCCAGTGCTTGTGCCTGTGTGGGTGCCTGTGCCTGTGCCTGTGTGGGTTCCTGTCCCTGTGCCCGTATGAGTGCCCGAGCTGCCGCCGCTACAGGAGCTTCCTGTTGTGGTGAGTGAGTGAGTGAGTGAGTGAGTGAGTCGGGCTTAACGCCTCTAACTATTCAGTATGTTATATGTATCAAGTATATTTAAATATTACCACTTTGTTGGGCGTCACTTGCACGGGTAAGGTGCTAACAATTCAAGGATAATAATCCGTGAATCTTGAAATTGAGCCACAATCTGCGGATCCTGGCCCCGTGGCTACATACCCATGTTCTTTTATTATTATTTTTATTTTAACAAACTAAATCCAGACACATAAATTTGTCCTTATGTTTTATCTTAGTAGTAATGTTCTCTGATAGGAATTATATCTTATCAAACATACCTTGCAGTATTCAGAAATAAGTAATCATGAGAAATATGTAATAATATTATCGTATATTCACATTATAGCAACGACACGTGACCACATGTACGTAATTAATCATAGCTTAGTCCTATATCTTTGGCATAATGATATAGTGATGATATCATAGTGGTGCTGTCTATCCAGAGACGATGTACTTGTCAACATACCAACTGTGGCGTGCAAGTCTGTCTTTGTTCGACCCTGTCCGTTGACCTTGAAATACAGCCAGTAGTTGACGGTGTCCCCGACCTTCACGTGAACGTTGGGGTTCTTGTGTACCCAGTATGAACCTACATGGGCGACAGTATTTAATCTTTTTATAAAACATATTCACAAAACATAACTTAAGTCATTGATTCCAGAGCAACTGCCTTCCCATCAGCCCTCGGATCGTCTCAATCACTAACACATCTCGGCTTGCACTAAGAGGAATCCATATTGGAACTACTTTCGTGCACATGACATATCACAACATGCTGACGGCGTGAACCTTACATAACGTGTTTCTGTTTAAAGTATAAGTGTATAGTTTTACCTAATTCATATAAGCATACGATAACCTGTTTCCAAAACGTTGCGAGGGGCTTTATGCGGAAGGTTCTGGCGGTTACATGACAGTGAAATTACTACACCAGTGCAGTGATGACCCAGGTATGACGGGTAAGGTGAGGTGAAACGGGGTTTATCGTCGCGTTCAGTGTTATTGCACTTCAATAGTGACGTGCATGCACGTGTGTTTGGCTACCTGTACTAATTCGAACTTTAATAGTACTAGCCTACTCAGATACAAAACTTTATCATGGATACACACTCAGACAAAGCCTACCGACTCCGACCCGACCTCTACCCCTTAATGCCGAATGTCAGACAGGGTAACAACAAGTACCATCTTTTAACGTCTTTTGGTATGACGCTCGGTGATTTAACCACCGACCTCCCGCACTCTAGCCACTGTCATAGAGGGGGCAACTTCGTGACATGCCTTCTTGGAGATGAATGAAACCAGTAATGACGAATGAACTTCAGCGGAAGGTAAGAAGCGGAATAAGCCGAATTGAGCCGAATGGACCCGGAAAGACCCGAATGGACCCGATTGGGGAGAGAAGCATTGAGTTTTACTGAACAAATTATTAACACAACTATATGAAGATACTCACCTCCCTGTCCCTCCATGCGTCGCCTCGATTTGGAAATTTCGATCACAGCAATTGAAAACAAACAAAGTACACAACTATACCCTAGATAGTGCTCCCTCTTGGTTGTAGATGCCATGACAGAATGTGAAGAGTTAAGATCTATAGTCACATTGGCAATATTTCCGCCATATCGTGACTAAGACAGGATGTATAAAATATCAACAATTCTAACATAACGATGTTTTTTGCAATGGGTTTTCAAATTACATAATTAAGACATGCTTGTCTCAATGTTTTATTAACTCCTACCGAGAATTTGAAGCCTCAACGCTGATTGGTTGATTAGAAAGCCCACCTGACGCGACTTCCTGCGGAGGAGTCCTCCAAGCTGAACTAACACAGAGGGGGTCGTATCGGATTTTAATTATACATATCGCCTTGACCCCTCACCTGTCTTGTGGGTGATTTCATAGTTGCTGTCGGCTCCTGCTGCGCCGGCTAGGGGCTTGTTGACATCATAATGAACTCCCACCTCTTGTAAACCGCTGAAATCTGGATAGAGTAAAGTGAGTGAGTGAGGGAGTGAGCGAGCATTGAATAGCATATCAATCATATTATGCGGTCACGATGTGTGGTTTTATAGTGGAAAGAAACGATGCAAGTGTAAGACTTTCCCCACTTTGGAGAACCCAGGTATTGTGCTGAGTAATCAAGAATCATTATTTAGTAAAGGTCTTGGATTCGAACCCAGAATCAGAATATACTAGGACACTATTCTGCATAGGGCCTTGAGGACCCTGAGACGATTGGGTTACCCGTGTCCTCGTTTCTAGAAAGAGTTGACAACAACCTCACACGGTTCATACTTAAATGGCAATATAGTGCAACACAACTGTGTTGGTTTGTCAAAATGCGGGTGTAACATTGCATATGTTTTCATAGATCCGGGGTAGAAGCATCTTCCCGAGGCAAGGAAGTTAACTAACTATAAAAGTCAAGTTTCCACCCTTGCCGAACTAGGCTGGTATTATGGAGTTACATTGTGGCTGGACTAACGAGTCTATGCATAGTCCAATCAATATCGCGCAACGAAATCGAAATCCGGTTCGTAAACTGTCGTGCAGATTTCAGTCGATTGCAGGATTTGCAAAGCATGTGCACCGCCAACTCGTTGTCAACAGATATTTTCCAAATCTTTTCATGTTTTTAATCAAGGTGCTCACGTGATTTGATGCACTTCGCGATGTAAGACTCGTTTTATCACAATATAGATCTTGATTAGTCAGCAAGTCTGACCACCAGATCCCAGTCGCCTCTTGCAAGTTGAAAAATTCTGATCCGAATCTTCACATGGGACAGGTTTATGTTGCTTGGGTCCATTTGCATTTCACAGAAAGTGGTAAACGTCAAAGACCTGCATCAATTGGGGTTTCCTCCCACATTTAAGTGTCACGTCGTAATACAACTGCAATATTGTTCAAAGCGTAATCTGGCCTCACTTAAATATCAAATATGTAATATTAGTGGCGTTGTAATATTTGTAGTGCCAAGAGTATTTTCTGAATTGCATTGAGGTTATGTCTGCTACTTATGCATGCAAGAGATAGCTAACACATTCAATAATTAAATCGCTCCCCCCAAAAACATCGATTGAAGGATTCTGAGCATGTGTTTATGAATCACCATCAAATAGTGATGATACCATCGCGAAAAGGTGAGCATGTCCTACCCATCGATGACACTCGTCACAAACACATGCCAAGGCAAGTCAATTGTTCACCTGAAAAAAACACGGAAACATATGATACGACCTTTTTGGCTGGAATAAATGCACCGTCACCTACCCTTGACTCTGATTTCTATGCCTCCCCCGGAGAGGCATACCTCCCCATCTGGGTTCTGAGTCAGCGCCGTCCGCAACAACACCAGGATATACAACAGGTACAACATAGTGATCCGTGAAACGTGTACCCCACTCACTGCTTTATATAGAGGCCAGTTGTGTTATCAGTACATACTATCAATGACAGCTAGGGAATCGTCATTTTTTTGTGATTCATAACCACATGCTCATGATATAGACGAATCAATCGTAGAATCGAGATTTTTTTATGATTTTGGATTTGGCCGGATACGTATCCTACCACTGACTTCAAAACAATACGCCTCTGAAGTATTGACTTCAACATAATACACTTCAAAGCCACTGACTTCAAAACAATGCGCCTCTAAACCATTGACACAACACGCCTTATTTGCATTCAACACATGATGTTCGATGATATTGTTTTAGACTGTGGCATTAACACGCTTCCAAAGTTTCGTTTCTGTGTCATCGCTGATTGTATAATGCGAGCTTAACACTGTTAGGAGGTCAACCTTATGTAATGAGAGTGAAGACATGTACCGGTAGCCTCAACCTATCCTACTAGCTCGGTCTTATCAGACGTATAAAAAGACATGCGACACTTTCTCCGTAATCTCTATTCCATGTCAAAAACGGCCATGATATTTTAAGCTTTTCCTGCAGTATGTCTGGCGACAACCTCGGCCTCGGGTCAAGGATTTGAGTCAGAGGTCATAAGCTATCCCGCCTGTGGTTTCAAGATCAAGGTCAAAGGTAAGAATATTTTCATATATCTCTTGGCAATGCCATGATATGATGTACATAAAATGGTCATCCGTGTTCACTTTCTCACTCACTGGCAATTATTTATTGATGGAAAGAGTGTGAGTGGCGGGTGCTACCGGTAGAGAAGGACATGCTTATCTTTCAAGAACCCCTGATTTTCAGTGGTCTATTCATATTTTTTCATCACTATTTTTACTTTTCTGCCGTATGGAAGCTGTTTCGGCAGCTATGTGAGGCTGGGAGTTCTCGGGCGTTGACGTTATGGCTTGCACAACGGTAACAGAATGTTGTGCTGAGCAACTGTCTTTCAAATGAGATGTACACGTGAAGATCCAGGTTAGAATAAGTCTTCAGCAACCCATGCTTGTCGTAAAGGACCACTGTGTCTAAAATTCCAAGTTCAAATTCAATTTTTGTTCCTGTGAATCTGGTTATTTACATCCCGTTTCAGATGGACATCATATTAAAACAAAAAGACTTTGACCCAATATACTGACTATTACCCATCAAGAAAGCATCCTTTACACAGCTGTGCAATAGGTCTTCAGCAGCCCATGCTTGCTGTAAAAGGCGACTATGCTTGTCGCAAGTGGCGACTAACGGGGTCGGGTGGTCAGGCTCGCAGACATGGTTGATTCATGGCATCGTATCCCAATTATAGAGATCGATGCTCGTGACGTCAATCCGATAGACCGGTTCCTGGCTATGATTGCGCCGCGTCATCTGAGGGATTCATGATATTTACCATGCGTCAGTGTGTCCGCCACAGTGCAGTGGCAAATGTGTGCCAAGATGAACACAAAAGATCAGACGTGTTGACCTGGACCAGATAACGTCAACTCGAACAGACGAGATCGAATGTGGGTTAACGAACTATCGCTTCACGTTTTAGTGTTTTGGCGCTCTCGACATGTACCTGACAATGATCTTTCCACATACCTCAATACCAGAAGACCTTGTCCATATATTTTAATACCAGAGTATAACTTGGTACTGAAATACATAAAGTCCTTCCTCATAGTGGAGATAATATAGATTTTATAAACACTTCAAGGTTTAGAGAAGGGTAATTGTTTAGCTTTTATAGGACGTTTCAGTGATGTGCATTATATGTTGCGTTACATTATATATTGAGCATATCCCCACACAAACATACACTATCGCTGGAGAATTAACGACTGGGCCTAGAGGAGGTTGGTATCCACTACAACATCAACATCGACCTCCACGGCACCAACTCGGCCACAAACAACGTCGACGTCACCATTCAACAAAGTATGCCCTCAGGACCGTGAGCGGGGGAACGTTGTTTAACGTCACAATAAGAAATGATGCGGTTTTATTCATGGTGATATATTAATTGATTGACTTCACGTGAATTTTGACACAAATTCAAGATCTGCTTTTGAAACGGCTCTTCCGAAAGATATTACCCTTTACTCTGCTCAATGTCATTAAATCAGATCTTTTTTTAAAGATGTCGTATCGAAACGGCGTTAAAATCTGAAGACAGCCTTTGAAGGTCGCGTCGAGTGAAGGATGCATGGGCCAATCAGATGTCACCTTTCTGTAAAGATTCGGCTTCATTTTCTTAAGACCGCCTCCGTGGTCTAGTGGTAGAGCGTCCGTCCGGAGAGAGGAAGGTCACGGGTTCGATCCCCGGCCTCGTCATACCAAAAGACGTTAAAAGATGGTACTTGTTGTTACCCTGTCTGGCGCTCAGCATTAATTAAGGGGCTAAAACAAGGACTGGTCTCAGTGAGCTAGCGCTATATATGGGCATCAGTCCGAACTAGTACAAGCAGCCACACACACACGTGCATGCACGTCGCTACTATCTAGAATTCACAGAGTGTGGCGTTGACAAGGAGATTTCAGGATTCCATGCAGCACCAATCTCCATGTCCTACAGCGGGGCGGACACGATGACAGGTGTACATGAGACTGTATGCTGGAGCAATCGGACCAGACTTCATATTCATGGACGATTACACACTACAGCATCATGCCAGGTCTGTTGATGCCTACTTAGAGCAGGTGACCATTGTCCGCATGGGGTGTCCATACCCCAACCCTATCAAATACATGTGGATAAGCTATACATCACCCTCTTAGGATGCCTGTCCTTCCGGCAACTCCACAGGAACTGAACAGTGGAACAATCTTCCCTTGGCAACCATCCAGACCCTTATTGAGACCATGAGATGACAGTTCCAGGTTGTGATCACGGGAGTTATTGTTTTGGACAATGAATTTGTTTTCGTCACATTTAGATGTTTCAATTTGGTTGGACACTCTCATTTTGATGGGTGATCTGACTGATTATTGGTCACATGTTGTTTGTTGGCATTGTGTGGCAAAAGACAACAGACTTTTCTTCATTAAACATGTCTTCACACAATCTTATCTTTGGAATTTTCAACAGATGCACACAATTTGACGTATTGCCGTTTAAATTGGTCATCCTTATCAAATTTTGAGTAATATATATCCAGAAATGTTTGGGTATGGACAAATTGACACTTTCAAGATGGCTGCCACGATTGGCATGTGTAAAAATCTTATAAGAATTCTGTGAGATCTTTCTGGAGACAGCTGTGATTGCAGCTTATGGGCCTTGTGGTTTTCACAATACACACACTGACAAATAGCACAGACTGTGGCCACGCAGGTGAGCCAAAAATGACACAATTTCAGTATTTACAAATATTCCTCATTTTATTTGTCAATGATCAACATCATGGTATACTGGCTATTTGTCAACAGTGACTTTCACAGGGCAGAATAACTCTTTCCGAGCCTCACTGAGCAATCTGTAGAATAAATACTTTCAATGATAACATATTAAATCTACCAAACCGATATTCTTAAATTCTTCTAAATGAGACAGATACACGTTACGTAAGTATCTTGTCACATAATCTAAATTGTGTGTGAACTAAGTAAAATTCCTATCTGAGTATTCATTCACTTGTTTGTTTCTTTGTTCCTTTGAACAAACAAACAAACAAACAATCCTGTGCTACATAAGATAAAAACAATTTTCTCTCTTTTCAAGTGAGCCAATAGTTTTCACAAACCTAACTTTAAATATTTAAATTTTAATTCAATTTTCAGGAAAACAAATATCATCATAATCAACAATGCAGGTTTGTATCCCAATGTTTCTCCATCACTCGTCAAAACAATCGCTCGCTTTTCAGTGTAGTGTATTTTAAACCAATGAATCAAGTGACTGCCTGTTTTTCTGCGACAGAAACCATTAAGTGCTCACACATCATGGCAATATTTCTAGCGCAACATGTGCCACAGCCTTTCAGACATAAGTCCTCATAATAATAACATATAGCAAAACCATTAAAAATAGCAAATATCTACAAGTTACCTTAACTACTGGGCAGCTTGGCCAGGACTACAGGACTAGTGCCAATTTCAAACGCAGAACTACGTTTGCATCACAGAAATCTACATTCTAATGGGCTGAGACAGGCACCTGCTGTGAACAGGACAGCGCTGTGGTGGAAGAGTCAAGGCAGGGTAGTTGATTACTTGATTCTCACATACTTTCTGTGATTTTCATAGGGGCATACGCCGCATATTGGTCGTTGTTATTCACCAGTGATGGAGGAACGTAGTGCATACTAACCAGGGAAGTATTAATAATGGTAAAATCTATAAAACAAGATATATAAAGTTAGTGTGACCCTAACATATTGTACTGCACCAAAACCATCCAAAAACAGACAAATAGCACACCCAAAAGGGTTAACAAAAAAAATCACCAAAGACCCATTACTGAATACACAAATGTACAATAATTCAAGGTCTTTATCAAATTATGACGAGACAAAAAGCTAGCACTTTGACATAACAAGGATAAACTTGTACATCTAGATACAAGATATTCAGAATACAGTAATTAAGCAAAATTTGATGAGTACTGTAGACAGACCGGGATTGGTTGCATTCTTTTAAAAAAATCAGATCATTTACTGTGATACGATACCTCTCTGTGTTAAGATCTGAGGACACCTCCATAGGATCAGGTGATTTTTCTAATCAATCAATCAGCGTAAGCCTTAAACTCTCAGTACAAATAAGCAAAGCATTCAGACCAGCATATCTGATTTCTGAATCTTAAAAACGAACTAAAACAACAACTTCTAAATGTAGATAAATAAAGTATCAAATGCGTATTTGTGTTCCGTGTGGGTTTTCCTTTGCTAAGATCAAATTTTCTGAATAATGTGTAATGGAAATAGTTCTAAGAAAGCAGACATCTGATTGGCTCAGGAACCCCTTCACCTCCATTGAGATCGGGCGGACACAGTTCACTCATGATTCACCTCACACAACCAGTCCTCATATCATAATGCATGGAGAATTAAAAGATCCGATTTTAATGAAATTGTTGAGTAGATAGACCCTGTTTGGTTACACAGAAAGACCTATCATTGCAAGTCAGGAAACAGCACAATCTTCTAAATGCGAAACACCACAATTCAAAGAATAAATGAAGTCTGTCGATTTGCATTTGAAAAACCGATATGATTTATAGGTAAAGATAAGATATATGGATGAACATGTTCTATATTACAATTAGGACAACGTTTCGATGTAGGTTCTAACAGTTACAAAGAAAGTGATGTTAGAACCTACACCGAAACATGGTTCCTAATTGTACTAAAAATGTTGTCAGTCCATATATATTACCCTTACTTTGTACTATAATCTATAGGTGACCATTCAACTTTTGAAAGATCTTGTCGGAAAAAAAGTATGGTAAACTCCACATCTGTAGACGATTTCAAATCTGCCTAGCATAATTCTAACTTCTGATAGCAAGGAGATCAGAAGTCACAAACATATGGACACATCATCCTGGCTTTGTCACTTATTTGATTTAGCACTTCTCATATTTACAAGACAAATTGACCAGACAACCCTTGTATACCCTTGACAACCGATTCACAAAGTACTGGTACTACAGTGTGGTTGGAGGGAAAGCTCCAATGTACAGCTTGAAAGACAGAGACAATTATTCCATCTTCTCTCCATCTACTTGGTCACTTGATGGATGGCCTGGGCAAGGTAGTCGACGTTGCCGGATGTCACGCCGGCCATGGAGATCCTACCATCCTTGGTGAGGTACACCGAAAACTCCTTGGTTAATCGCTCAACCTGAAACAAATAGATGGGATGGTAAGGTGAGGTTGGGTGAGTGAGATCTGACATTGTGTTCAATCTGTTTCATTTCCAGACAATCGAGTGAATCACATCGTTCTACGTGAGGCTAAAAAAATAATAGTCTTGGTTCTCAGGCACTGCATCATCATAACCTTTGCTGCACTTTTCGTTTTTATTTCAATTTTTTTTTAAATAAAAAAATTAAAAAAGCCATAAATATTCCAAGCTGAACAGTAGTCAAATACTGTATTCCAGTATTTCACTCATCAAGGAATACATTTATGTAGGGAGGCCCTTTCCCAGGTTGATTGTACACATCTGTTTATTTGCTTACATACTAATATGAATAACAACCGCCCACACAAAATTTTCAAAAGCCATTGCCTGAGAACCAATTCTTTATTTTTTTAAGCCTAATTGGGATACATTGACATGCACCAACCAAATCAGCAGGCCTGATCACCAGATCCCAACAGTCGCCTCTTACAACAAGCATGGGTTGCTGAAGACCACTTTTAACCCGATTCTTCACAGGTTGCACTTATATAGTGACGTGCATGTATATGTGTGTGTCTGTGTCTATGTGTGTCTGCTCGTACTAGCCAGACTTATGCCGGTCTTATATAGTGCTAGACCACTGTGAAACCATACCACAGTCTAGGGCAGATAGGTCATTCAGAGTCGTATACTGACTCCGAGCCAACCAGTCTTTGTTTTGTCGAGCGCCAGTACATCTTTTAATGTCTTATGGTCTTTTAATGTCTTATTGTCTTTTAATGTCTTATTGTCTTTTAATGTCTTATTGTCTTTTAAAGTCTTATGGTCTTTTAATGTCTTATTGTCTTTTAATGTCTTATTGTCTTTTAATGTCTTATTGTCTTTTAAAGTCTTATTGTCTTTTAATGTCTTATTGTCTTTTAAAGTCTTATGGTCTTTTAATGTCTTATTGTCTTTTAATGTCTTATGGTCTTTTAATGTCTTATTGTCTTTTAAAGTCTTATTGTCTTTTAATGTCTTATTGTCTTTTAAAGTCTTATGGTCTTTTAATGTCTTATTGTCTTTTAATGTCTTATTGTCTTTTAATGTCTTATTGTCTTTTAAAGTCTTATGGTCTTTTAATGTCTTATGGTCTTTTAAAGTCTTATTGTCTTTTAAAGTCTTATTGTCTTTTAAAGTCTTATGGTCTTTTAATGTCTTATTGTCTTTTAATGTCTTATTGTCTTTTAAAGTCTTATGGTCTTTTAATGTCTTATGGTCTTTTAATGTCTTATGGTCTTTTAATGTCTTATGGTCTTTTAAAGTCTTGTGGTCTTTTAATGTCTTATTGTCTTTTAATGTCTTATGGTCTTTTAATGTCTTATGGTCTTTTAATGTCTTATGGTCTTTTAAAGTCTTGTGGTCTTTTAATGTCTTGTGGTCTTTTAATGTCTTATGGTATGATGAGGCCAGGGATCGAGCCACTGACATTCCATTCTCCAGTCAGAGGCTCCAGCCACTGGACCACGGAAGCAGTGTCCCATAATTTGAACTTTGACTGGATGAGCGGTATCTGAGTTATGTCACATGTCTCAGCTGAACAATGGAGGGATGCATGAAGTGATGCCTCCACTCATCAAATTCTGGCACAGCCAAGGGACGCAACTCTGTACAGTGAATTGTAGCGCCTAAGACTACTGGGACCCCAAATTGTGAATATACGGCTGAATGGACAATAATCAGATTTTTTGTTTTTTATGTTTGTTGTTTAACGCCGCACTTAGCAATATTCTAGCTATATGACAGTGGATTGTAAATAATCGAGTCTGGACCAGACAATCCAGTGATTGACATCATGAGCATAGATCTACGCAATTGGGATCAATGACATGCATCAACCAAGTCAGCGAGTCTGACAACCCAATCCCGTTAGTCGCCTCTTACAACAAGCATAGTCGCCTTTTACGGCAAGTGTGGGTTGCTGAAGACCTATTCTACCCCGGATGTTCACGGGTCTCCACGTGTCTCCACGTGTCTCCACGTGTCTCCACGGGTCTCCACGGGTCTCCACGGGTCACGGACTGCACCTGGTCTGGCTTGAGTCCGGTGAAGCAGAACATGCCGATCTGGTCTGTGATGTGCTGCCAACTGCGGGATGACCCTTCCCGCTTCAGACCATCTGACAGCTTCGTTCTCATGCTGATGATACGGTCGGCCATTCCTTTGACATCCACCAACCTGTGAACAACAGATTCAACAATCACAACTGTCGAGACGGGGGTGGAGTTTTACTGGGTAAATTTAAGGAAGAACATTTGAATTTGAACTGATGGAAAAGATGGAAAATAAATTCGTTTACTGCCACCATAGAAGGGCAAATTACACACACTATGGATTTCACGTGATGAATGACTTGATATATAAACAGCATGAATCTGGTCCAGGCTAGATTTCTAACAAATACAAGCACCCTGCACTATTTTCATCATCATCTTCATCCCATCTTCCAGAGGCAAGGGAGCTAACTAACTGTAAAAAGTCCAGTTTCCTCCCTTGCCGAACTAGGCCAGATTTTCTCAGTTCGATGGTAGAGCCACCAGAGGCTATTACAAGTTATGTCCCTTCTATGGCCCTCCTACTGACCTATCCGATTCCGCCTCTTATATCACTTGCATTTGCTTCAAACAAAATGTTGGCGCCCAGATCAATATTGTAATAAAGTGCATCATTCACATGATCACCTTGATTAAAAACATGAAAAGATTTGGAAAATATCTGTTGGCGCTAAGTTGACGGTACACATGCTTTGTAAATCCTGCAATCGACCAAACTGGCAGTTTACAAACCAGATGTTGATGATATTGTGCGATTTTGATTGGACTATGCATAGACTTGTTAGTTCAGCTAAAATGTAACGCCATAACTCCAGCCTAGTTCAGCAAGGGTGGAAACTGGACTTTTATAGTCAGTAAACTCCCTTGCCTCAGGAAGATGTTTCATCCACACAAGAGAGCCTTGAGATTATTGTGTTAAGTACTGAATTCACAATGTGGTGAATCAATGAATGAAATATACTGAGCTAAGGTTTGTTCGTTATACAGCATAGTACTGTATCATGCTGTACGGAGTACTGGAGTACGATAACGTTGTGGGGACCTGTTCTGCAGGAGGTACAAAGACTTGTTCTGATAAGGGTGAGGTTATGGGGATGGTGCCCCAGCCTACTGGTGTATGTCAAGGCAGAAGCTGGGGGCTGAGTGAATCCCACTTCACACAGATCTACTCCTGACTTACCACTCCTTCCTGAGGTCGGGTGAGTTGAGGATGGTGGACACGATGCGGGCACCGTGGATGGGGGGGTTGGAGTACATGGGCCGGATGATGATCTTCAGCTGTGACATGACGCGGCTGGCCTCGTCAGTGTCCTTGCATACGATGGTGAAGGCTCCAGCACGCTCACCTGCAGCATCAACAACAGCACACTGAGTGACAGACTGACAACTGGCAACTACATCTGGACTTCTGCCAAAACTTGATCTCAAAGAAAACGTTAATTTGAAAGCTGTGGGTGATATGAAACAAGAGGCCAAAGTCATTGACATCCCCTGCAATGGTAAGTACTTGTTGTGAATAAGTAATAAATACCAAACTATCAAAAGGCACTATTTCACCACTTGACCAATGTGCCATGCTTGGTGAAGAAATATTGCACGTTTTTCAAGATCTGCTCCGGAAACAAGCCCTATCTCCATTTTCAGTTGCAGTCAAAGTTGTTGCCATTGAAATTCAAACAACATAATTTTCAAAAGTCCCAAACTATTGAAAGGTACAAGTTCATCACTAGACCTATCCATGTACCAAGGTTGGTGAAATTCAGATTGGGAAACTACTTTTGGGGTTTGATCCCTGACCGCGTCATACCAAAAGACATTAAAAGATGGTACTTGATGTTACCCTGCCTGGCACTCGGCATTTAGGAGCTAAAACAAGGACTAGTCGGCTCAGAGTCAGTATATTGTGTCTGAGGGGGTATTCATGTTAAAAAGCGGCATGGTATTTCAGGGGGCTAGCACCATAAAATCGGCAATAGTCCAACTAGTACAAGCAGCCACACACACACACACACACACATGCACGTCGCTATATAAGTGCAATAATCTTGGACGTGACATTAAACCCCATTTCACCTCACCACTATTCCTGAAGTTTCCTACTGTATTTTTCTCCCATAAACATTGAAGCTGTTTTACTAAAGGAGCTGTGAAATGAGCTATGATGTAGACATTACCCACCATATAAGCCCATGTTTTTAGCAAAGGACTGTGACAGAGCCACCTGGTGGCCATCCTGAAGAAAGTATCGAGGAGCAAATGCGTCTTTGACAGTGTCACCGCTAGCGAAGCCCTGGTAGGCCATGTCGAAGTACGGGAACAGCTTCTTCTTCTTAATCAGCTGACTCAGCTCCTTCCATTGCTCAGGCTGGGAGGAAACAACACAATATTAGCAATCCACATTGTTAGGGCCACACTCTTTTAATCTCATGGTTTACGGAATTTTCCCCACCAACTAGCTAGGTTCAGTAGGAATATACGAAACAATTTCTGAAATCAATGTGTTTTTATTTCATCTGGTTTAAAGCTGTTTATGTAACTTAGTTCTGATATTAGTAATAAGTTTTGCATTAATATTCGCCGTAACAAGTGCCCTGGGCACTTAGAAAGTTGAACAAGAGTCATCAGGAGATGACATATCCCCCGGTCAGGAACAATTCAGAAATCGAGGTTTGGTTACTTATACCCTACTTTAGGTCCACTGCCATTAGATACCTTCAGCTCAGTGAAGAAGAAAATATTCCTGTTCAGTATTTTTCAAAATCCCAAATCATCAAAAGGCACTAGTTACCAACTAGGTTGATCTATGTAGATCATTTCAACAAGATGTATTTAACAGTTTTGGAGTTCTGCTCTGGAAACAGAAAACAGACAGCTGACGGAGAGACAGACATGCTGAACGCTATTTTTCAAACAAGGGGGATTAAAAGAAGGTGGTGTGCTTATTAAAACCATATATATGTTCAATTTGTAGATTTGTTGACAGAGATCAAACAGTAGTGAAGAAACTTAGTTCAAACATCAGAGAAACTAAAACCATTTTGATAATACACACCCCTTCTACACTTATGTATTTTTGTAAAAATAATTATAATACACACAAAGAAATATGGACTCGTGTTAATTTTCATTCTTAAAACTGGTGCTTGATGACTTACAAACTGATCTACAAGTTGGTTCGGGAGGTGCTTATATAGGAACAGGGCGCTTAATACGACAAATACGGTTTAAACATTTATTTCTGACAACAAAACAGAAGCAAATTGCTGTCGTAATATTTGGGAGTCGTATCAACATTTCCACACACACTTTCTCCGGTTCGGTGGATGACAAGATGATATAGAAAGGTATGTAGGTGCATGGTAGCCCAGTCAAATACTCACGGTGGGGTCAACACCTGTGGGATTGTGAGCACACGCGTGCAGGACGATGACCGACCCCTCGGGAACATTCTGTAAACAAAACATCAAATATCACACACAGAGTTTAACAAACTTTAATGCAGTCTGCAGCGTTAGAAACTGGCACTAGTCATGTAGTCCTTGCCAAACTGCCCAATAGTAAAGGCATCATAAGGACTACTAGACATTTGCCGTTTTTAAGGGTTTTGCTGTATGTTACCATTATAAGATTGTATAAGGACTAGTGGGCAAAGAATGTTAAGTTTCTATTGCTGACTCTGTCCTTTCAGCCACTAATCAGAATGCCAAGTCCAGTAATTGTTTCTTTGTTATTTTAGGTGAGATGGGGTTTAACGTCGCGTCCAAGATATAGCGACATGCATGTACGTGTTTGTGTGTGTGTGGCTGCTTGTACTAGTCCGGATTGATCCAGATTTATAGTGCTAGCTCACTGAGATACCATGCCGCAGTTTAACATGAATACCCCACTCAGACACAGTATACTGACTCTGAGCCGACCAGTCCTCGTTTTAGTCCCTTAATGCCGAGCGCTAGACAGGGTAACAACAAATACCATCTTTTAACGTCTTTTGGAATGACACAGCCTGGGATGGAACCCCTGACCTTCCGCTCTCCGGGCGGACGCTCTCCCACTAGACCACAGCTGAAGCTGAAGCAACACTTCAGCCACATCACAGCAGCCTGTCAACATGTGAATCTGGACTAGGCACACCAACAGCCTGATCAATGTCTGATTACCTGACCCAAATACAGCTCTTATCTGTTATGTACTGGGAACCTATTCTATTTGTAACCTTAAATCCCCACAGAATGCCTAGTTTGGTATAATGTCTTTTCAGGGTTAGAAATTGGCACTAGTCCTATAGTCCTTGCCAACCTGCCCAATGGTAAAGGTATCATAAGGACTAGTAGAAAATTGCCATTTTTAAAGGCCGGCATGCGGGTATAAAAGAGGCAGGGGGTGTGTCCTCCCAGTATTGCACCAACTGTCTTAATGCTAAGAGCAGAGCAACATTCAAATACATTTTATGAAATATTTCGAATACTATCTAATATTTCAAGATGATAATTGTTAGGACCATGCACAAGGGCGATAGGAATACATACTGTGAAAAACATCAGTACAGATAGTCAAATAGGTCTGCATTTAGAAAAAAATTATAAACTTTGTGATTCAAATTTGAATTTCCCTCCTGTCAGTCAGACAGCCAGAGGGCGGTGAGTATCCATAGCAACTTCCCTGGATGGAAGGGAGAATCTCATTCATGGTTTCACATTACATTCTCCCATCAGCTGGGAGTGAAACTGACCCCCCATGCACTGACCTCCCGCTCTATGATGATAGCATGGCACACTTTGGGGGACCCTTCATTCTATATCAGTGGGGGTGGAGACAGTTGTGCAAGATTATTTGTTATTGGTATTGGGTCATCTTTCAGTAAATTTAATGTTAATATTTCCTTTAACCCCCACGTTCAACCACTGATGATTCTGGACACACTCTAATTACCATTTTCTGTACCATGGTTGTTTTGCCATGTATCTCCTCCCCTACCTCTAAAAAGTGGACTCTGGCCAGGCCTTGTCTTAGTCACTGACTTCATTATCATTTTGTTTTCAATTGACTACTGACCTTCGACAACAAATCTCTTGTTTCTGAATTATCTAACTGATAAAAGTGATCTACTATGGCGGATCCAAGTGGGCGATCAGCGCGCTTTACTATTGAAGTACCTGGTAATGATGATGTGAAGAGAGGCATTCTTCAAAAGATTAAACAGGTGAAGATACATATGCGGGCAGAAACTAATATGCCTGCCAATAATGCTGCCGTCCTCGATCGTGTCTTGACGTACTACCTCCAAAACCATTGCCTGACTGTCCCAGAAGATCCTCCCGTGACACACCTCAGAGCAGGAGCTGGGGACACTGATGACAGGTTTTTCATCATATCCGAGTCATCCATGAAAATGTGCCTAGATGTAGCAGAGCAGCATGGGCGTAAATGTTCAAGTAAACTGTCTCTGAAGCAGACCAACTACAAAGGACATGCTGTAACGATGAAAGTGCGGTGTTCTAGGTCACACCAGTACCGTTTAGCATCGTCACCTTATCTTCCCAACAACAAATTCCTGGTTAATGAGAAGCTTGGACATGCATTTTACAGCAGTGGTCTCATACCTGTCCAGTATAAAAGATTTTGTTCAGCTGCCGGTATTGGAAGTCTCTCACAAAGATATAGGAAGGATCAACTGAATTCTTACAAGAACATTGGTCAATCTGAGTTTGAAGATTCCTGTGACACAGCCTTATTGGAAGAAGTAGCTGGATATGAACATTTAGATGGTATTAACATTATGTCCGATGCCCGACATGGTTGGCGGAAGAATGCCAAGGACAGCAGCGTTGTTGCTATTGGAGATGCTAGTCACAAAGTATTAGTGTGTGAGCATGTCACCAAACAACATGATCCAGTATCTCAAAGACATGAACGCATTGGGACTGAAAGAATTTACAACTTTTTGAAAGAAAAGAATGTCCAAATAAATGTGCACACCCATGACCGGAACTTGTCAATTAATAAATTTGTTCGAGACACTGGATCAACGACAAACCAGAATGACTTATGGCATGGTGTGAAATCTGTTACCAAATTGTTGACTGCTGTATCCACTGGGCCTCGCTACAAACATGGGAGCACCTGGCATGAGCAGCTGTCAGACAAAGTCAAACCAATTACCACTCATTTTCATTTTGCAATGCGGAATTGTAATGGTGACAGTGCCAAACTGAGGTCTTCACTATCAAATATTGTGGAACATTACAAGAACAATCATTCCGATTGTGATGCATCTTCCAGATGTAAATTGGATCAAAATTATGAACCATCACGGATTGTCTTGACCAGTCAAAAAGCTGTGGCTTTATTGACGAGAGTTATTGAAAATTCGGTTGTCTACAAATATCCGGATGATTTCAATTTGGCAAAAGATACCTTTTATGTTGAAAGTTTTAATAATGTGATGAATGTCTTCCAAGACAAAAGATTATCATTTTCTGACACTATCTATAATATGCGTTCTCAGTTAGCCGTGTGTCATTGGAATGAGAATGTTGACCGGGACTTTACCTCGCAATGGCATGCCAGTAACTCTGGGGCACCAAGATCTCGAACCAGGCAGAAGAAGAATTATAAATCTGTCACCTATCACTACCGAGGAAATATTTGGAGCCGTTATGTGGGAAATTTGTGCTAATTGTCAGACTTTTAATTATTGCCATCCTTATGGCAGCTGTCTATTGTAATTTATTGTCAGTTGTACTCTGTGGAGAATTGTTCTAAAATGCATTTTATAGTTCTACAACTATTGACGATGGGAGAAGCATCGGAACACCAGTCCCTGACATTGATGGTAACCCCTTTACAGAGAGAGACTATTTATCATCTGTTTCACCACCACGACTGGGATATCATAGAGGTGCCCAGTGTAGTGGCTGTATCATCAGCTACTGATATATCAACAACACCAGATCATGATCGTGATGATGAGCAAGAATTCATTGTGCAGCACAGAGCGGAAGAGGAAGAGTGTCCACATTGTTTATGTAAACCATGCATAACCAACCCATTGAACAAGCAAATGTGGTGGGAGGATGGCACAATGCCGGTACATGTCCAAAATTCATTTCTAAGGAAGGGGCATTATAGACGATTTTGGACAATGTTGATGCATAGAGGTGTGTGGAAGGATGCCCGTTACCTAGACAGAAAAAGACTGGCATTGGAGAGGCAAGCTAACCGCCAACAGTATGTATGGAGTGGAACCAGACACAAGCGTGATTTGATGCCACATTGTGTCACAACGTTAGTTCGTACTTGGTTACCTAACCAACATGATCAACCATATATGGGACATTTGTGGGAATGACATCTTAACGCACAGCGGTGTTTCCCAGGAAGTTTCAGACAGATGTTTGAATATTTATGTTTAATGTGCATTTATTTTCTGATATGGAATACAAGCTAAATGATTCAATGATGTGAGGAATTATTTTTTTAATCCTCATTACATGAAAAGTCAAGATATTTTGTATATTGACGTTAGATATTGAGTACATGTACATGAAATTAACTGACCTTTTCAACAGTTAAATTAATAAATATTAAATATTTAAATGTTTCTTTGTATGGTCATATACTATATCCACACATCCATTTGTTAGTGTTTTATGTATTATATGGTCTGAGGTGTTTCACATGTGTATATAGTCTCTAATGTGTTGTATTAAATATATAAAAGATGATATGTTGCAGAGATTTGTGTTAGCCTTATCATTTTTACTGAAAACCTTAATGCTGTATGCTTTAAATGGGATTTTAGTCTCAAGTTCACATTTCAAAATTTACTATGAACCACTTGTGTTTACTTTTGTAGTAAATTCCATGCTTCACCTTTGACCCTGCCTGGTTCCAATAGCCGTTACAGTCCTGTCTGTCACAGGCAGATAAGATCTTCCCAGCAGAGAAGTAGCCAATCAGATGCTAATTGGAAACCCATGGGGTTTTTTCATGTTTGGATCCCGGCCTTTAAGGGTTTTGCTATATATATATATGTTAACATTATAAGGACTAGTGGACGAAAACTGTTAGTTTCTAACACTGCTTTCTGTCTACTAAGTTGAGCTGATAAATAATGTGACAATCAACATAGTATTTTACACAAAGACACCAGTATATACAGAAAATGATGCCAAAAGCAAATTTCTGGTTAGGAAAGGAAATTTCTTTGGCACAGACATTGGATACTACAGCAACAATTCTGGTCTTACACCATTACTGCTTTACATTTCTCACATGAACAATGAACACTTGACAGGCAACTTTAGGCACAAACAATGACAACAGGTATTTACTTAGAACGAGTGAAAATCATCCCCTACAGAATCAGGTAACTACTCACTGAGATATCCTCACAGGCTCCGCTGAAGTCGAAACCGCATGTGCTGGGGTCGTAGTACCGATAAGACTTCACTTCAATACCAGCGTGTCTGTAAAACACAATGGTACACAATGTTTGTTTGTTTGTTGTTTTAAGCAGCACTCAGCAATATTCCAGCTATATGACTGCGCTCACTGCGGCAAGTATGAATCAAGCCTGCCCCAGACAATCCAGTGACTGATATTATGAGGACCATCCCACTCTGTACGATGACAGGCAATGAATCAAGTCAGCCAGTCTGATGACCCATCCACTAAGAATGCGCTGTAATAAGTATTTGGGACCAAGTCAGCCAGAAAAAACTCATACATACTTTTATCACAGAAATCTGAAGGTCTGATCATAACATTTCATTCCGCTTGTACTATGAACACCCCCAACTCCATATATAAAAAAAACAGCAGAGGAACGTTATCACCAAAATCACCCAACTGGCATCTATCATGTCGTATGTCAATAACAACATTGATATCAGTAACTGGTCTTTGTTCGACAATCTCTGTAAGGATCAACTTTGGAAATAGTACAATAAATGCAACCCTAAATGTCTTTATCACACAATGTTTTTTGTGACAATTAGGATCTCATGACATGTCATAGTCTGACTCGATATAATCGAGTGCTCTATATTATCACATAATCCACACCCCAGTCGGCTGTGTACTTAACCTAAGCATGATACTTCACATCTTCCCAAGGCAAGGGAGTTAACGCCCTTGTCTCGGGAACATGGATATTTCATCGCTTGATCGAATACAGGACTCGCTGTGAATGTCATGACGACTCGTAAGTAAACATACTAACTTGTCCAGGACAGTTTCTGAAATGTTTTTGAATGGGCATTATCCCTACCACAATTGGTAATTTGTTAGAAAACAAAACATTTCCTTGGACGATGTCCCTTGACCCAACCTAGGTCGTATGCATACTGATTAAGCATTTTTCATAACAGGAAGTGATGAAAAGCACATATTCCATACGCATCATCCCAAAAAATAGTTATACCGTGATAACACAGAGTTGCCCGCCCTTGAGTCGCTAATGACAGATAATTTGTCAGCGTTAGAAATCGTCCTTGCCAAACTTCCCAATGGTAAAGGTCTCATAAGGACTAGTAGAAATTTGCCCTTTTTAAGGGTTTTGCTGTATGTTATCATTATAAGGACTAGTGGACGAAAACTGTTAGTTTCTTACCCTGTTTGTTTACCGATCTCACGACAGAAAATCAGCGAAGACAAATCCTAATTGATGTGTCATTAAAGTTGGACAAATAAGTAGAAACACTTAACATATGACAAACATTATAGGTGGGTAAGTGTACACCATTATAGTCCATTGTTGATTAATTACCGCGATAATATGGCGTACCATGCTACTAGAATCTATCTCACCACGACAACAACAGCAACAATGTGCACTATCCTTGTACAAGTTACAATATACAGTACATTTGTAAACTACGGAACATGCTAAAGACACCCTACACAACACAAAACTCACTTGAAAATCGGAGTGTGGTTCCCCCAAGATGGAGATGGGATGTAGAAGACTTTGCTGGGTGCGAACCATTTGGCCTGGAATATAAGCATCATACAGATAGAGGAAGTCCACTGGTACTGCACTAGTTACATACTTTACTGCAGAGGCAAATTTGGAAAACCATTCTCCATGTTACTCCTAAATAGCAAAAGGCACCAGTTCAGTATGTGCCTAGAGACATGCAAAGTTTTGTAAGAAAGTATTTAATGGTTTTTGAGTTACGCTCCGGAAACGAACACCACCCTTATAGAACCTAAGTCCAACTTGTTGCCATGGAAACGTAAAAAATAAAAATTGATATAACTCCTAAATAGCAAAAGGCACCAGTTCAGTATGTGTCTGGTAAACATGCAAAGTTTTGTAAGAAATTATTTAACGTTTTTTTAGTAACGCTCCGGAAACGAACAGCAGCCTTATAGAACCTAAGTCCAACTTGTTGCCATGGAAACGTAAAAAATAAAAATTTATAAAATTCCTAAAAAGCAAAAGGCACCAGTTCAGCATGAGTCTAGTAGACATGCAAAGTTTGAAATATTTAACGGTTTCTGAGTTATGCTCCGGAAACGATTTCGGGACGCGCACACACACACGCACACACACACGGACGGAACCCATTTCTATATCCCCCGCCAACTTCGTTGGGGCGGGGGATAACTACAGCTGGGGGGTAGGGAGAGGGGTCAAATACACACATACATTGAGTTCTGATACTTTTTCCCCCCAATGTAAAGACACTACAGTAAGCATGCCAACAAACATCCTTAAAAAAAATATTAAAAATCCCCTACAATTAATCAATAAATCATAATACAAACATTTTCATAGACATAATTATTCACATAATAGTGAAGGAACAGAGATGTACCAATCTCATAGCTTTATGCAAGAAAGATTTTGAAAGGTGTGATGTTCATAAGCAGACAGCACAGTGTAAATGGTAAACCCTTCCACAGACAGGTTAATAAATATTACTTGCAGCAAATGTATACCATGCATACAAGATCGAAACATATTAAAATGAAATTACTTTCACTTTGCACAATGTTTATGTATACAAGATCCTGTTTTTATACATTACAGATCACCAATCTTCACTATAAATGTGTTAGCCAAATGTGTGTGTGTGTGTGTGTGTGTGTGTGTGTGTGTGTGTGTGTGTGTGTGTGTGTGTGTGTGTGTGTGTGTGTGTGTGTGTGTGTGTGTGTGTGTGTGTGGGTGGGTGTGTGTGTGGGTGTGTGTGTGTGTGGGGGTGTGTGTGTGAGGGGGTGTATTTGTGGGTGGGGATGTGGGGGTGGGGGTGTGTGAATACCCCACTCAGACATGGTATACTGACTCCCAGCCAACCAGTCCTCGATCTAGCCACTTAATGCCGAGTGCCAGGCAGGGTAGAGAAACAATCAACTCACACCCTGTCGTTGAGATGAGACAGATCAGCTCATAAAGGGGTGATATTATTACATCTTCATGTGTTTTGTACTGGGTAGGTCAACTTCTTGATAGTATTGATAATATTTTACTTACAAAGAAAGCTGCGCCAATACGGAGTGAACCAGTACCAGAAATACCCTGAGCAGTTACATTCTGAAAAAGAGAATATGAATATATCTGGTAATAATGTGAATTCCTTAATCGATTACCAATCCCATGATCAGCTGACGGAAAAGAATTATTTGTGTTGAACATACTGTCAGCATTGGCATTTCACAAGGACACTTTCCTAAATGCAAAGAAATACTTGCTTCAATGGAATTATTTTTTCTAAATGTGTGGTGTTCAGCATGAGTGAGTGACACTGCTTTGAACAGAATTTCACTCTGGTGAAACCCACGAGCATCGGGTATGGTGCTGAAATACTAAACATAATCGGGTAAAACCGGAACTAAAACCCACAATCATAGGTTCCTGTTGTGGCCAAGGGATGCAACTCTGCACAGTGAATTGCAACGCCTTTATTTGACTGGGCCACCTGTGTCCTCGTGTTGTTCAGAAGGCAAGAGGATGTCACTATACATGCTATATTTACCATGGGAACATGATGAGTAGGCACCATGATTTTAGTTCAACCAGTTCATTAATTTTTTGGGGGGGGGTCGGTTAGCCTAGTGGTTAAAGTGTTCACTCGTCACGCCGAAGACCTGGGTTCAATTCCCGACATGGGTACAATGTGTGAAGCCCATTTCTAGTGTCCCCCACCGTGATATTGCTGGAATATTGCTAAAAGTGGCGTAGAACCATACTCACTCACTCACTCATTTATTTTGGACAAGTGGTTTATGTAAAGTAATATTACTTAATTTTGGGAAAAAGATTTCTACAATTTTTCACTGACCTCAAACTAGTTGATTGTTGTCTGTGATGAGCAGTGACTATTATTGTACATATACTTGCCATTCTGAACAATATTCAGTTACATCCCAGTGTGGCAACTTGATTGTAGAGGAAAGATGAAAGTGGTCATTGACATTTACCACCTTGGTAAAAAACACAAGCATGGGTAAGGTGCTCATAGACCAAGAAGTATAATAATCTTTGAAACCACAAACAGCATATCCAGACACAGCTAGGGAACTAAACTCTGCAATGGGAAGGAGTCAGTTGGGTTTTATGCCGCTTTTAGCAATATTCCAGCATTATCACAGCGGGGGACACCAGAAATGGGCTCCAGACAATGTACCCATGTCAGGCCTTTGGCGTGACGAGTTAACGCTTTACCCACTCATACTCAGGGAGAGAGTGAGTGAGTTTCATTTTACGCCGCTTTTAGCAATATTCCAGCAATATCACAGCGGGGGACACCAGAAATACTCAGGAAGAACATACTCACAAGGAACCTACTCGAACAGAACACACACCAGCAGAACACACTCCAGCAAAACATACCAGCTTGTTTTTAATGGCTGGGCTGTCATCCCCGAAAGCCAGTTGAGCCGAAGCTGTACAGAAGTCTGCTAGACCAGAGATGGGCAGGTACTCCTTGTCCAGGTTGGCTGCAAGCATCTTCTGTTCTGCCTGAAACCAATGATTACAAACAATGAACACATTTTACACAAAAAAAACATTTTTTTTGTTACACATAGTATTGTCATCCAGTTTCGGTGAGATAAAAAAATAAACAATCCCAATATTACTTTCCTTGAAGTTTGGTTGTCATTTACTGTCAACACAATGATCCATTAACATGATAAATGTTTAAACTTCTAAGAAAGGCCTACAAATAGAGTCTTGAGAACAATACAATCTCCTTAATATCTGATCTTATACATTAATATCAGATCTTATGCTCTGATACAACACCTCTACATCAACATAATGAAGAACTGACAACCACTCCAAAGAATGTTGCATCGGGGGAACCCTATGCCAACTTTGACCTGCCGGTCTTAATGAAGGATGCTTGGGTTCAGATGTCAGTAACTATTATTTGCATTCAGAACTGCCCAATTATGCTTTTTTTCAAGGGATAGAAATCAGATATGAGATAATGAGAAAGTCCCTACTCTGATTGGCTGACTAGAAAATTTATCCCCTGCAACCTGATGTGAAGGGGAGGTCAGATCTTATCGTATCAGAGTAAAAGAACTGATTTTAGTGAGTTTGGGAAATAGGGGTGGGACTTTTGGAACAATGACAAGTCTTCTAACCTTAGTAACTGAAGGCAGCACGAAGGGTTTGCCGTTGTCGTCTCTGTAGGCCCCCACACCAAGGTTCATCTTCTTGGGGTTTGTATCCCGCTTGAAAGCCTCGGTAACTCCAAGAATCGCATCTGGGGGTCCCATTTCAACATTTGACCACCAAGAGCTGCAAGTTAATTGTGTTTAACATATTGAACACAGCTTTCAGGATTACAATTATATCGCCATGATCGCAGCGTTAGCTTTGCGTATAGGCTGAAATACTGCCTATAGGTAGAAGACATGCTGATCCTTACACATTCCCAGCAATTTTAGTAAAATCACTTAAACATGACATTATCAATAATCTCATAACTAGGTGATTGCAAGTACTTGTTAAAACTGGAACAGCCTCAAAGCTTCTAAAGCCCAAAAATACCACCATGTATTTCCAGTCCAATATGATTACTTTACTTCCAGACTTTGACCTATAACCAAATCTCAGAAATGTACAAGCAAAAGCAACTGACAATTACTAATACAACGGTGGTTCACGTTACATCTCAAATATGACCTTGACCTATGACAGACAGATTTGCAAAGATATATGCACAAATACAGTTTCATGGCTGTAGAGGTAATTATGCCAAAGAAACTGATGATTTGAACACGTAAAAAACTAGAATGTTGACCTTGACCTTTGACTCAGTTTGAACAAAACCTTCTCAAAGCAAGGCCTTATCCTTGAGAAGGCATATGCCATGTATGATGATACATGCAATAGTTCGATAGCCTGGTTTTAATTTAATCTAAATAATACACTGAAAAAATATTTGTTTTAATATTGATTTGGTTTGTTTTATACCTAAACTGTGATACTTTCCTTACTGTTTTACTGTCCTTTGTTGACAGGTATGGAATAATAACTAACTTGTTCTCATTGCAATATGGCTGCAATACTGACAATGTGATGTAAAGTTTTAACTCACTCACATGCATTGACACTTTAATCTTGTGACCTTGAACTTAACATGACATGTCCCAAAAGAATTCCCAAGGGCTGTTCAGAAGACACACACACAACACATGTCGCTATATAATTGCAATAATCTTGAACGCGATGTCAAACCCCATTTCACCTCATACAGTCAAGTTTCGTTAATCCGACAATCGTTTATCCAACAATCGGCTTTATACGACACAAATGAGGGGAACCAATTAAATCAGTGCTATTTAGACCTGTTAATCCGACAGTCTCGCACTCCAACTCCGACACACCTAATTTGCAACAAATTGCTGAAATCACTCATTAATCAGTCTCATTAATCCAACACAGTGATCAGCGTACTCCGTGGTCATCTGCCCGCAAGTACACAGCCCCGTGTTTTGATGCTAGACGAGTCGGCGAGTAGCTGCATATTTCAACGGCTGCAGAGATAAACTTGCTTAACAATAAACAATTACTGCTTAAAAAAACAAAAAACAGGATTAATCACATGCCTAGATTACCTCAATCTCATTTAACTGGTGTTATGTGTTTGTGGTGATCAGCTGATAATGTTTTATGAGATGGTGAAAAACATGTCGTTGTAAAACCTGAGCTTATTAAAAATGTAAGTACGTTTTTGGGAGCCATGCGTTAGCGCGCGCTATAACCAAGTTAGCAGTTTATTGAAAGGCACAATAACGAGGAAACATTGTACTTGAGACTTGCGTTCCGTATCGTGGCGTATCGATAAATGGGCCCGCGTTTTTCGAATATTGTTTCATGGGTAAAGTATCGCGATGCATCAGAATATCGGTGTATCGTTTCACCCTTAGTAACAGCTACTGACAGATCTTGCTTTTAGGACAAATAAGAGCACCATGTCCCCCATAGTTTATGCCTGCAACAAAATCCAATGTTCTGACAGAGATATTGAGTTACTTCATCTTCAAAAGCTCTGCTGCTCTGAATGGTTCATTGAATATAGTTGTTTGAACATGATGAATACGACCATTGACCCTGTTATATTAGCATCTTGCATGTACATTACATATACATGTTCACCTGACGATACAAAAAACAATACATTCGTTTTGATTCGCTTTATGTTTGTCAACAGGTGATAGCAGCGAAAGAAATACGTAAATTAGGATTTTAAATATACAATATTGCTTGACTTGATAATAATGCAACGCGTTACTCCATGAGATATAAGATAATCAACAAAGTAAGACACGAATTCAAGGACATCTCTAGGATACTAACAGTTATAAGCGAAGGTGAACTTACCGCACGTTCTTGATGCATGATCACGGCTACTTTCAGATAATTTTGAATTAGATAATGGATGAAATGACAGACAGATATATGTTTTTGACAACACCTGCAAAGTCCTACTCTTACCTTGACCGTGCCAGTGTGGCAGCAGCACCGGCATGTTTGCCGATGATGTTAGAGACGGTACGACAACGAAGCGCCTGCAGTGCCATCTTGGGAGTTCAAGGTCGAGCCAGGATACAAGCTCCTCACAGCGATGTCACATTCGCGGAGCTTGCATTCCGAAGGGGGGTTACTCTTATATGTCGCCCTCGATCTATCCGCTAAAGAATAATTTTTCAATGATTCCGGTTTAGTGGTTTTCTAACATGTCCAATCTAACGTTAATACCGTGAGTTTGGTTTCCAGGATGGACACCCATATCGACGAACTATCGACGTTCATGCGTCTGCGCTACCCCTATCGAACTCATGTTATGGTAAACGGGTGACCTAAAAGTCTCTTTATATACTGCCTGTTTTCAACAAACAAATTCAAAGATAATCAGTTAATTATCGTTCGTAATGCAATTACTGAAATTAACGATTAGCTTAAACTTGCAATCAAATTAAGTATGTGTTGGAATAAAAACTAGGTTACACAGATTAAGGTTACAGCCACATGACTTGCTACAATGCCATGTGTTGGAATCAGACATAGCGAGTGACACATCTGGACGTGCATTTCTTGCTTAGATTTCGGGAGAGAGAGTATTCGGCGAAAATGCGTAGTATTACGTACGTAACGTACTCGGAGATTTGAAATCTACACCACGACTTCCTGCACTGATAACCCAATGATCGATAGCGTGAGGAACGATTCACGTCGTCTCAGTATCTTGAGACACATAGTCTGTGAGAGTTGTCTTCCTTGGCAAGTATTCGCTATTCATTTATTCATTCATTTGTAAAGAACATCGCCGTCATTCTGTCACAATGACTTCTACACGTTTGTTCAATCATTCTTAACATTGGCTGAGTTGGTGCACAATTTCATGTACAGTAAAAAGAAAGTGTTTATTTAGTAATAGGATTTAACTTTAAATTAAACATATCGTTTGATATATTATTTGTTTATCACATGTTGCGTAGTTGTAGTTATATCCTTTGATATGTTTTTTTGTTGTTTTTTACATTTACTCCCGAGCTGGAGATAATTGAAACCGTATATGTATCCCAGCGGCCCTGTAATAGAATGATGAGACTTGTTAAACAGACTTCAGATGATATACAAATATTCATGCATCGATGGGTAGGCTTTAATATCTGAAAGAGTAGGCAAAAAACACATAGGCCGAAAAACAATGAAGGAAACCTGACACCCTTCACGGGCTGGCATGTGACAGCATTGAGATCACCTTCAGATATATCAGGGGACACGGGCGGCCCAGTCGTCTGAGGCGCCGCAATTCGCTGTGCAGAGTTGTGTCCCTTGGGCACTTGATAAACCTATGATCCGGTGTTCGTCTCCGAGTGTCACCCGATTATGTTTCGAGGTTTGTCAGCTCCATAACTAAAGCACCTTAGTGGTAAACGTCTGAGACTTGCAGGGCGGTGGGGTGGCCTAGTGGTAAAAGCGTTCGCTCGTCCTGCCGAAGACCCGGGTTCGATTCCCCGCATGTGTACAATGTGTGAAGCCAATTCCTGGTGTCCCCCGCCGTGATATTGCTGGAATAATGCTAAAAGCAGCGCAAAACCATACTCACTCACTCACTCACTCTGAGACCGGCATCAATTCGGGCTTCCGCCCACATTAAGCTAACATGCCGTTATATATGCTTTTATGTCCTTGTATTCGGCAAAGCAGCCATAGGCTTTAATTGAATCGGAACGGATACGTATCTAAACACTGACTTCAAAACAATACGCTTCAAACCATTGACTTTAACATATAGTACACTTCAAAGCCAGTGACTTCAAAATACTACGATATCCGTGCTCGTCGGTTTCACCGAAGTGGTAAACGTCGGAGACCTGAATCACTTCGGGCTTTCCTCCCACATTAAGCTGACACGCCGTGATATAACCGGAATACTGTTGAAAGCGGCGTTAAACCCAACTCAGATTTAAATCGGTGAAGGACTATCGGATGCTATGATTTGGTGCCTATATCAAGTCTAGATCTCAACATTTGTTTTTGTTGTGAGGCTTTAGGTCATTGCAAGAAACTTGTTTTTTAATGACGTCACTTGGTTGGGACTGCCAATATGTCAATAACACGACCTTATATATATGCGACACTTTCCTCTTTTTCATTTTCTGAAAAGGGCGCATGAGTTTTGACACTTCATATTTTGCGTTGCGGTGACTTCCTCCGTGGTATAGTGATATAGAGCGAGTGTACGGAAAGCGGAAGCTCGGGGGTTCGATGCCCGACCGCGTAGAACCAAAAGACATTAAGAGATGGTATTTGTTGTTACCCTGCCAGATGGTCGGCTCGGAGATAGTAAATACTGTGTCTGGGTGGTATTCATGTTAAACTGCGACATAGTATCTCAGTGTGCATGCCTTGTCGCTATGTAAATGCAATAAAATAATCTTAAACGCGACGTTGAACCCAATTTCACCACACCTTGTGTTGCGGTATGCAAATGCGTGTTGTTATTACGAGTTATCTCCCTTTGCCAATATGTCAGCTTCCATGATTCTCAATGTGACATTTCATACACCAACGTGATTCGGTGAAACCAGTGTCTGTCCACTGTGACGAGCTATATGTTAATGTTGAAAAACCAAATATGGCAGCGTATTACCGGAACTATGTAATTAAAAGGGTACGTGAACATGATAATTACATAGTTTTCCAATCCACCAAAGTGGCAAAGCGTCGATCATTCGCCTACCAAGCCGGTCGAACCCAACAATTGACAACAACAGACTCTCTGATCGGGTTTATACTTATAGCATGTCATCGTAAGCCCACAACGTTGGACGATGCTCGTGTTTTGTCAGTCTAATCCAGATTCGATTATTTAATGACCGCCGTGATCTACTGTTGACCGCGGCGTAAAACAGCATTCGGTTATTCACAAACTCTGTCTGTATATATACGTCTTTGGTCTGACAGTGACACAAGCCAATGGGGTCAAGGTTAAGGACAACTTGATGCAGAGGCAGATGGAGGAAATGTTGCGAAAACACAAATACAAGTTATAAGTATGACTTCAAATTAAAAAAGCCATTAAGTAATATTGTCAGCATGGGTGTTTTTAGTAATTATTGTTATGAAAGTGTCTAACACATTGATCATGTCTTCATATCAGATTGTCCAGACCCTCAACAAGAAAGGCGCCGGACCAGCTGACCTGCAGAGAGACGTCCGTCAAATCATCAAGCTCTCTCAAGCTACCAAGAAATATCGGTATCGAGCTAGTCTACATGGTCTAAGAAAAGTTATATATAAATGTTGAGATATGTGATCAGAGCCCTCTTCTACAAAGTTGACATGTCGAGACAACGAAAACTTTAACCACTAGGCAGCATCACTGCCATGTGCTAGGCTGGAGATAAACCTGTTAATCTACTTGTTTAGTTTGCCTTCTTAAGCCTTTATTTTATTCCTTTGAAGTCTCACACTGAGGTTATTATGAAAATTATGAGCACACATATCAACATGAGCAATTCAAGACATACCTGTAATTTTTAACACACTAGGTTTATCTCTTTCTCAAAGACTAATCATGTAACAGTATACATATCATGAATGAAAGATGTTTCTAGACAGACGTAGGTATTAATTTTGCCAATTTATTATCACAGAGTAAATCGCTCTTTTTACTGTGCAGAAATGCTTCCCTTGGGCATGCCAGAATACTATGATTGTCGAATTTAATCTAAGATTCTCCCTGATTATGAAAAAAGTTTATGATCCACATACTACTGATGAGGTATGTAGTGGTAAGCAACTAGGAGCTGCATCACTCTTAATGATCTTACTTAACATCGGGGCTAGAATAGGTCTTCAGCCACCCATGCTTGCCGTAAAACACGACTATGCTTGTCGTAAGAGGCGAGTCAGGCTCGCTGACTTGGTTGATGCATGTCATCAATCCCAATTGCGTGGATCGATGTTCATGTTGTCAATCACTGGAATGTCTGGTCCAGATTTGATTATTTACAGACCGCCATCATATAGCTGGAATATTGCTGAGTGCGACGTTAAACAACAAACAAACAAATATACCATCGTTGTACAGGTGTACTGATCACCAGCTGCAGGTGTCAGTGGGGGCAGGTGACGGAGGGAGGCAGCTTGATGTGGCAAGTGTTGAGACAGAATTACAGCAGGTATGTCACAGCAGGCTGTGAAAGAGAATTGTGTTATTTTGTGGTTTCTACCTAAATATTTCTTTTGATTGAATATGTGCATGAATGTACAACTGATAAACAACATTACACGATGTGATTGAAGAGGAAGAGTGCATGACAATACCAACAGTACTTTAGACATGTAATGGTAGCTAAGGACGAACGTCCTCGGAATACCACTACTGATACCTTGTCATCCTTCCATGAAGTAGATTCGGTTCTCTTGGACACAACACCAGTAGAGTCAGGCATCCCCCCTTTCATCGACAGACAATTTAGATAATGTCGACTCTTCGGACACACTCAGAATGGTTGTTCTCCATCCCATTCTTCTTAGCATCCATCTTGAATCCAGATGAGCATGAAGACATCTCCTTATGCCTGAAGGCTTCGGTCAAGCTACAACATTCCCAGAATTAGTACCAATTGGGCTTAAAAAATAAAAGAATTGGTTCTCAGGCAATGGTTTTGGAAAATATAGTGCGGGTGGGTGGTGCCTTTTATTTTATTTTGGGGGGGGGTTGTGCAAACTAGTATGTAACCAAATAAACAGTTGTGTAACCAAACAAACAGCCTTGTACAATCAACCTGGGAAAGGACCTCCCACTATAATATTGGACTGGCGTTTGACTTATTTTAGGATTTTTGTTGTTTTTTTCTAAAAATGGAAATAATAACAAAACGTGCGGCAAACTTTATGATGATGTGGGCGGTGCCTGAGAAACAAGACTATTATTTTTTTTAGCCTTGGAGGGTACATAGACTTCAACTTTGAAGTCACCACGAGGCACGGCTGTTTCGCCGGTGTCCCAAACCATTACCTGCTAACATCTGCCTTGAGCATGTTGTCTCAGTATTTGTTTGAATACCCTTGTCTGGGTGTTGTCAGTCATTTCCTCTACTCGTCTCAGCATGCTTTTTGCACTCTGGGTGTGTTTGATAGTTTTGGTGAAGTGTTAAAGGAGATGCCATTAGAATATCAGGAGGGTCAACACTTTGACAGAAAAACTCGCAACTCGCAAAACTTGAAAATTTATATACTTAATCTATGTCACACGCTATATGCCCACCCAGCCATCCCCGAGTAACAGTTACACCAGTCTATCTGCACTAAGAAAGAGCAGGGTATCTCAGGTGACCAGGTCGCACAGGGTCAGATCGTACAGCAGTGCATGACCCGGTGTCTAGGTGATGACCATGGTGATGAATGGGATGTGTTAGGGTGATTTGCTTTTTTAAACTGGAAACTTTGTTCTAAGCCTTTTTCACACCAGGATCTTAGAAGAAGGAAGAAAAGATTGAATAAGTAAATAAATATACAATTTATTAATAATAATAGTACATTCTGTCAAAATGTCTTGACCCTGCTGACATGAGGAAACGGGCAGTTCCAATGTGACGTATTATGACCACCCAATCTCACTAAAATCAGATCTAAGCTCTCTCTGCCCCTAGACAAAGATCTGAGGACATCCCATTACGTCAGAACGACCTTCCGCGAACTTTGACCGACCACTGAAAAGAAGAACAAGAAGTCGACATCAGCCAATTAGAAAGCAGCTTTCTCGAGCTTTACGGCACTCGTTTCAACCTTGCGACTTCCATTTCAGACTACGCTTGAAAAATATGTTGACACTGTTCTCGATTAAAATTCTGAAAACTGAACAAAAGAACAACCCGGAATGTCTAATATGTGGTTACGATTGTATGGCAGTGCTTCCAAAGTACTGTGCAACATCTCCTCCGTTCAAATGTTTATCCTACGGAAGCGAGAGACAGATGATAATTTTGACAGTAACTGTTGTTTGGAATACCCCGTTTTAACGTTTTCGAGGTTGCATGTTTAGAAAACACATTCCGAGTGTCGCTTTCATGATCTGGTAAGCGACGCTTTGATTGGTCAGATGAAAGGTCGTTCTGACAAGACCCGTAATGGGATGTCCTCAGATCTTTGTTTAGCGATAGCAAGAACTAAGATCTGATTTTAATGAGATTGTATGACCACCTGCAATGTTCTTTTATGAATGCAGCCACTGGTCTTTTAGCGGGATTTGATGACTATTTTTAAAGTAATTATCTGAGCATATTTTCATCAAACTTATGTGAATAAAATTTTGCCTGAACAAATAAGAAAATATATAGCTCAGACTTGAGTAGACATCATTATAAATAAATCAGTTTTTGCTGGGGATTGCCCAAGATTGTGTCTATGTTTTTATTACAGGATGCACACACAGACATCGAAGCAGTGACAGCAGACAAGAGAAACCTATACATCAAGATCAAGAATCACAAGTTTAACCAGGTAAAACACCCTCTCTTGAAACACCGAGAGTGGAAATGCATCTGTCCCGATTGAATATCACTCATCACAATCACCTGATTTTGTTTCCTCATACAGGCTTTGCATATTTTTTCTTCCTATATTTTATGGGGCAGTGGGGTAGCCAAGTGGTTAAAGCGTTCACTTGTCACGCTGAGGGCCCTGGTTCGATTCCCCACAAGGGTACAATGTGTGAAGCTCATTTCTGATGTCCCCCACCGTGATATTGCTGGAATATTAATAAAGCCTTACATTTTGTTGGGGTTTTTTTTGCTTTGTTTATGAATAAAATAAACATTAAAAAAAATAGAAAAAAAATAAAAATCAGAATGATTAGGTTTATTCATACCTACAGTGAACTTGCCTTGACAGTCAGCATCGTTTTGATAGCGGAGGGGGGATAGCAATTGTTGATACTATGTTGTAGGCAGTAAAATATCTGAGAGGGAATGTTGATATTTTGGACCCCTCTCTTTTCAAAATGCTGGATCCACCCTTGATGTTTCAGCACATCCTCAGGACAATTCAGCATCAGAAAGAGCTGTATGGTTATAAATCTGAAGATGATCTCAGCACCGTCACGGGACAGCAAATGGTTGTAGAGTACAGGTGAGTCTCTTTGTAGCACACAAGTCATCACACTATAAGATGATCACAGGTTTTTGTTGTTTTTTTCAACGTTTTTTGTGTATTTTGCCTATTCTTTTACATATTGATTTAATAATTGGGTCAGTGGGATAGCCCAGTGGTTAAAGTGTTTGCTCTTCCAACATGAGACTCCCAGGTTTGATTCTCCACATGGTTGCAGTGAGTAAAGCTATTGTTCTTCCCTTTTGATTTCAAAGTGGTCAGACCCGTGAAGATCCAGGGTTGAATAGGTCTTCAGCAACCCAGGCTGTAAAAAGCGACTATGCTTGTCGTATGAGGCGACTAACGGTATCAGGTGGTCAGGCTCGCTGACTTGGTTGATGCATGTCATCTTTCCCAATTGCAAGGATCGATACTCATGATATTAATCACCGGATTGTCTTGTCCAGACTCGATTATTTACAGAATGCCGTCATATAGCTGGAATATTGCTGAGTGCGGCGTTAGACAACAAACCAACCAACCAAATCAAAGTGGTCAAGTTTGATTTTTGCTTACTTTCAGTTCACCAAACATAGCAAAGCCTTTCCACACTGGACATCTGCGGTCAACCATTATAGGAAACTTTGTCTCCAATCTGTTTGAAGCTGTAGGTCACAGGGTCACTCGGCTCAACTACCTCGGTGACTGGGGAACTCAGTTTGGTAACTATGACAACCAATAGTGGGACAAGGAATAGTATTTTCAGAGCATTCGTGACCAACTCGTGTTATTCCCGGACAAGCCGAATAGCGACTCGTACCCCTCTCATGGCCATTTTTGTGACCGGGTTCCGTCTTAGCGCAAACGGGCATACCTAAAACAATTATCAACTCGTTGCGTAATGGTTCACATACTATTTCCCCATGTATTATATTTATTTCAGATGCATTTTAAAGCACATTGGCACATGCGGAATTATACAGTATGATTGAACATATTTAACTGTGTCTTGGGTATATTATTACATGCAAGACATATGTAAAATCAAAAATTATTCCTGAGGGATTCTTTGACGAAGAACTTGAAATCACACGCATTCTGATTGGTTTGTCATATTTCCGCACATTACATTCATCGATAGGGGGACGAGTCTTCTTGCAGGTTACGGAAAGGAGCGATAGGTGACGAATGTTTTCAGAGATGTATACAGTCAAATGTCTACAAGTAGAAAACAGATGAAAAGAAAAATAGTTAAGTAGACATTTTGTTTATTTATTTATCATTTTTAAACCCCTAATGTTGTATACACTGTTGACTGTTAGACAGCAAACAGAATACAGTTTACCTTCATAACATACAATTAATTGTTATTTTTTCAGCCACATACCCTCGATTAAGTACATGGTTTCCATAAGTAAATTGCAAGGGATTCCACAGCATTTGATTGGCTAACCAAGCAAACTTTGGTGTGTTTATGTTTCAAAAATCTAAAAAGAGTTTGGCCACACACTCCACACTACTGTTTTGGGATTATCTGATAAAAGAATGGGCAGAGCAGGTTTTGCATTATTGCTCTGAACAGTATCATTGATTTTGTTTTTACATTCATACCTCCATAAACGGAAATAATTTTGAAGTCAATTCTTTAGGCCAGGCGTTTAATATTTTTCATATTACGGACCCGCCGACTCTAATTTTTGAGAAAATGTAAATTAGATTTCCATTTTTTTCCCACCGATAGCCATGTAGTCAGTTATTATTATTTGTTACCATCACCTTTTAATAAAAAACATATGAATTTACCATTGTAAACTAGTAAAGAGATACATAATCGATCTTTGTTGATCTCAAAGTCAAACATGAATAGCCTCCCATGACAATGCATTGTCCATGTTGTAAGTGGTAGAATTTTTATTGTTACAAGGGGCTTTATCGTCACAAATGGCAGTCTTTTGAGCACAGAATATGTTCATAAAGTATGCCAGAGGCATTCTGCATTAAAAAAAATGCATCTGGCTTTTTTCTTTTTTTTTCCCTCCTCCAACCCTGGACTTTGGGCTGAAAAATCCGTAATCCTAAAAATAAAAAAAGCCTGGCCTAATAGATGTCTCTGCTTATTTTGTCCTGACAGGCCTATTGTTGACTGGTTACCATAGATACGGAGATGCACACAAGTTGTCTGTAGACCCCTTGCTCCATCTGTTTGAGGTGAGGGTTTCTGTTTAATACATGTAGTGTTAATTCCAGTAGGTGAAGACCAGTGACAGTCATTGTCAAAGAGGGGAGGGGTAGCCCAGTTGTTAAAGCGTTCGATTCCCCACATGGGAACATTGTTTAAAGCCCATTTCTGTTGTCCCCCGCCATGATAATTATATTGCTGGAATATTGCTAAAAGCAGCGTTAAACCTCGCACACAAACGAGCAAGTGAACGATATGATATGGAGTATTGGAGCAAGCCTCTGTATGTTTACCGCAGGTATACGTCAAGATAAATCATGATGTTCAAGCAGAGAAAGCCAAGGGGGAGAGACACACATATGAAGAAGCCCTGGCAACGTTCTCTCGTCTAGAGACAGGTAATGTACCTCTCCACATGTTCCCCACATCTGGGGATGCAGTTTCCCGGTCCCAGTACATCTTGCATTGACGCCAATTGTTACAATTTGGGCAGAATAATTACAGTATTTTGAACCCAGTTCCACAAATAAGAGTAGACCACACATTATTTCTTTTCGATTCAAGGGCCTGCACCCCCTACTGAAAAGAAGCCGGGAAAAAATTTAAACATAAAGATGTTTATTTATATTACATCCTGACAGTAATATACACATGTAGACTCTCAATCAAAATTTTCACATATAAATTCCATGTCTTCATCAGTGATTCACGGGGCCAGCTGCAGTTTTTACTCAATGAATGAATGAATGAATGAATGAATGAATGAATGAATGAATGAATGAATGAATGAATGAATGAATGAATGAATGAATGAATGAATGAATGAATGAATGAATGACCTTACGTGAAATATACTACTAAAAAAGTTAAAGTTCACCTGATTTTTTTCAAATGACAATACCTAATCTGCCATCACACCAGGGAACTGAGCATGACATTTGAGTGCAGACTGTTCCAAAGACAGGGGTAATAATACTTTAGTGCCATGAGCATCAGTCTCATCAGAATCAGATGTAAGTGCTCTTGTAGGTTAATAAGATAGTGATGGGAATTACTCATGTGCACATCTATGCTGTGTTACAGGTGATGCTGATGTCGTGAACATGTGGAAAGAGTTTCGACAAGTCAGTCTGGCAGAATACAACAAGATATATCAGGTCATTACTCTGTTTAGTTATACCAGTATTAAGATTCTTGCAATAATTGATTAATCTGTACCATGTGACAAAACAATAAGTTTTTATGTAGACCCCGAAATCATGTGACTGACACTGACTTTGAATATTGACTCATCACGTGATCAGTGTTGACCTGTCACGTGATGAATATTGACTCATCTGCTGGAATACGAGAAGGCCACCTCAGGGGTCAGGTTCTTGGGTCCTTGTTTTCAATTATTGACATCGACAAGAGCAATCTCATTAAAATCAGATCTAAGTTCTCGCTGCAACAAAAAAGATCTGAGGGCATCCCATTACAGGTCACGTCAGAACGACCTTTCGCGAACTTTGACCAACCACTGAAACGACTAGCAAGAAGTCGACATCAGCCAATTAGAAAACAGCTTTCTCGAGCTTTACGGTACTCGTTTCAACCTGGCAACTTCCATTTTGTCTACGCTTGAAAAATATGTAGACACAGTTCTCGATTAAAATTTTGAAAACTGAGCAAACGAACATTCCGGAATGTCTAATATATGGTTGAGATTGTATGGCAGTGCTTCCCACGTACTGTGCAACGCCTCCTCCGTTCACATGTTTATCCCACGGGAGCGAGAGATAGAATGCCCCATTTAAACGTTTTCGAGATTGCATGATTAGAAAACACATTCCGACTGTCACTTTCATAATCTGGTAAGCGACGCTTTGATTGTTCGAATGAAAGGTCGTTCTGACGTGACCCATAATGGGATGTCCTCAGACCTTTTTTTAGCGACAGCGAGAACAAAGATCTAATTTCAATGAGATTGCGACAAGCGTAATTTTTGTATATTGATACCATGTTTAGAACCTGTAGGGATTATAGTTAAAATAGGTCCCCAGCAACCTATGCTGTAGTTTATGACCAGTCCCTTAGGTTAGAAAACACAGATCACCTGGAATGTGGATTGTTTGGACCATGACCCCGATAACTCTCTGTTGACCTTGACAGAGGCTCGGGATACGGTTCAGTGAAACCCACACTGAGTCCATGTATGACGAGGCGACCAAGACCCTGATGAAGCATCTCACTCAAGCTAACATATTACACACAGAGTAAGTACAAGATGTATGTCTACACTGAGCATCAATAAGATGCCCATCCTCAATAATACAGTATGTCATATCTCATTCTGTGCTAACCTCTCGTTTAGGAGAAGCATTTTTATTGTTTTTTTATTTCAATTTCTTGAACGAGAGACATTTTGTGCAAAGTTTGTGTAAGAACAATGGAGGTGGTGATGACTGCCACTTCTGAAATGAAAGGGAGAGTGGATCCAGGTATTTATGATGATAGAATGGAGATAGGAAACACTGGATAATTGAGGATGTATCCTGCCAAGACCTGATTTTTTTATTCACAAGGAGAGTTAAGGTCTAGAATTACATACCTAATTTATTCATACGTTTGTACCGTCAATATTTTGCAGGTCATGTCCATATGCACCTTCCTGAGGGAGTTAACTGACTGTAAAAGACCAGTTCCCACCCTTGCTGAACCCCTGTTCGATTGTAGCGCCACCAGTGGCTATTATGAGTTACATCCCTTCTATATCCTTCCTATTAACCAATCAGATTCCACCTCTCATATCATTTGCATTTGCTTCAAACAAAATGGCGTCTCCCAGTCAAAACGATCTGATTGATAAACAAATTCTATATTGTAATAAAACGGATCTTACTTTGTGAAGTGCATCAAATGATGTGATCACCTTGATTAAAAAGATTAGGAAAATATCTGCTGATGCCGAGTTGGTGGTACACATGCTATGCAAATCCTGCAATTGACCGAAATCTGCACGGCAGTTTACGAACCTGATGTCTAGTCTGTCTGTCTACTATGCATATATTCATTAGTCCAGCCAATATAAAACTCCATAATTCCAGCCTAGTTTGGCAAGGTTGGGAACTGGACTTTAATAGTCAGTTAACTCCCTTGCCTCAGGAAGATGGTACACATACTGCAATCTCTGTCCCTACATAATGCAGCCAGATGATGTATCATTAAACATACTTGAATTGTCCTTCCACAATAATATTACAGAAGAGAGAAGCAATCAGTTTTGCCTTTGTATCCATCCTTTAGCCAAACTTTGTGTAAGTTTCAATAAATATCAAATGTTGTGTGTTCTTAAAGTAATCAACCGGTTACTATTTCAGTGATGCTGGAGTTGGTTATGTGGAAATTGCCAAGAGGAAGAACGAGGAGAAGACCGAGGAGATGGAGAAGGTGAAACTAGTCAAGAGTGATGGCACCAGTCTGTATCTGTCCCGGTAATTGAGTTCATTCAACTTACCAATGTCATTGAAGTCAGATCTTAGTTCTCGCTACTGCTAATAAATGGTCTGAGGATATCCCATTACAGGTCATGTCAGAACGACCTTTCAACTAACAAGAAGCATCGCTTACCAGATCAGGACAGTGACCGTCAGAATGAGTCTTCTAATCATGCAACATCGAAAAGGTTAACATGGGAACGACAGTTAAGTGCTATACAACAGATTCCATCCAAATCTTTGTCTATCTGCTGCTTCAATAGGATAAACACTTGAAACGGAAGATACTTTGCTTAGCCCATGGGAAGTACTGCCATACAATGTCTGCCATCTACATGACCTGTAACGGGATGTCCTCAGATCTAACGGGATCGGCTGGTTGGTTGATGCTTGTCATTGTATCCCAATTGTGCGGGTCGATGCTCATGACATCAGTCACTGGATTGTCTGGTCCAGAATTGATTATTTACAGACAGCTGTCACACAAACAAATGAACCATATCAAAGTGTAAGCACTGCTTCCGACCTGACTCCCACACTAAGCTGACCCACTGTTTAATATATAACTAAATTTTATTAATTAATGTGGCATTGAGCTGAACTCACTCAGCTAACCATACACAAAAATTGTTTCTACTTTTTAGGTTTTGAACTCCAAGTCTGACTTCCAAATCAAATCAGTCTTCCATACCTGACACTGTCTCTCTGATATCAGCCGTGTTCTCATCTGTCCGTCATCAGTTATCATATCATCTGTCCGTCATCAGTTGTCATATCATCTGTCCGTCATCAGTTGTCATATCATCTGTACGTCATCAGTCATCATATCATCTGTCCGTCATTAGTTGTCATATCATCTGTCCGTCATCAGTTATCATATTATCTGTCCGTCATCAGTTATCACATCATCTGTCCGTCATCAGTTATCATATCATCAGTCCGTCATCAGTTGTCATATCATCTGTCCGTCATCAGTTGTCATATCATCTGTCCGTATCAGTTATCACATCATCTGTCTGTCATAGGTTGTCATATCATCTGTCCGTTATCAGTTATCATATCATCTGTCCGTCAACAGTTATCATATCATCTGTCCGTCATCAGTTATCACATCATCTGTCCGTCATCAGTTATCATATCATCTGTCCATCATCAGTTATCATATCATCTGTCCGTCATCAGTTGTCATATCATCTGTCCGTCATCAGTTGTCATATCATCTGTCCGTCATCAGTTATCAGATCATCTGTCCGTCATCAGTTATCATATCATCTGTCCGACATCAGTTGTCATATTATCTGTCTGACATCAGTTATCATATCATCTGTCCGTCATCAGTTATCATATCATCTGTCCGTCATCAGTTATCATATCATCTGTCCGACATCAGTTATCATATCATCTGTCCGACATCAGTTATCAGATCATCTGTCCGTCATCAGTTATCATATCATCTGTCCGACATCAGTTGTCATATTATCTGTCCGTCATCAGTTATCATATCATCTGTCCGTCATCAGTTATCATATCATCTGTCCGTCATCAGTTGTCATATCGTCCCTCTGACATTAGTTATCATATCATCTGTCCATCATCAGTTGTCATATCATCTGTCCGTCATCAGTTATCATATCATCTGTCCGTCATCAGTTATCATATCATCTGTCTGACATCAGTTATCATATCATCTGTCTGACATCAGTTGTCATATCATCTGTCTGTCATCAGTTATCATATCATCTGTCCGACATCAGTTGTCATATCATCTGTCCGTTATCAGTTATCAGATCATCTGTCCGTCATCAGTTATCATATCATCTGTCCGTCATCAGTTATCACATCATCTGTCCGTCATCAGTTATCACATCATCTGTCCGTCATCAGTTATCATATCATCTGTCCGTCATCAGTTATCATATCATCTGTCCGACATCAGTTGTCTGATGTCAACTATGATGGCTCGCATATTTTCACTTTTTGAGTTTTAAACTTCAAGCCTTTTATCCAAACCTAAGGCAAACTATCTGATTCAGCTGTGATATCAGCTGTGATATCGTCTGTGATATCGTCTGTCTGATGTATCTATGATTCCATCTGTACAGGGATATAGCTGCGGCCGTCGACCGAGTCAACAAGTACAGATTTGACAGGATGCACTATGTGGTAAGCACTCCCAACACTATAGGAAGGTTCAAGATGCATTTTTTCTACATGCTATAACAAATGTTATATTTGGGATGACATTTTCTTAGTAAAGTACAAATTCCTGTACATTTTGGGGGTTGTGGGCCATCCGGGATTCGAACCCACACTCACAGAGTGGGGCACCTACTCGCCAGTGATCTAAGCCTTGATGGCTTAGTGGGTCAGATCGCTGATGATGTATGCTGGTCATTTGGTCCTGGATGGCAAGTACTAGAAGTACTAGAATCTGTGCTTTACTGAGAAAGTGTAATCCCAAATATATCATATGTTACATATGGGTTAGAACAGGTCTTCAGCAACCAATGCTTGTCATAAGAGGCGGCTAACGGGATCAGGTGGTCAGGCCTGCTGACTTGGTGGATGCATGTCATTGTATCCCAATTGCGTACATCGATGCTTATGTGTATTCATCCGATCTCATTAAAATCAGATCTTAGTTCTCACTACTGCTAATGTTCAGGCTGTCTAAGGCATCGCAGTTTACTGTGCAGAGTTGCATCCCTTGGCTGTACAAGGATCTGATGTGATCAAATGAGAAAATACACTACCAAAACTTGGAAGAAATTGGTCTATATCAAAGTACATCCCATACGGATGGGAACCCAGCATTATAAATTTAAACATATTTTTTTATATTAATATTAATAGTCACCTGGAACACGATTTGCAGGTGGACCACAGCCAGAGAAACCACTTCCTGCAGCTCCAGAGCGTCCTTGACCTTCTGGGTCACCAATGGAGCCAACAGTCTCACTTCCACATCCCGTTTGGTCGTGTGGAAGGGATGAGTACTCGTCGTGGGGAGGTCGTGTTTCTGCGTGACCTCTTGGATGAGGCCCAGGGCCGGATGAGGCAAACGCTGATTGAGAAAGACAGTAGGTCCTACATAGGGTGTTCTATGTACATATAAGCCATAGGTGTCCAGGATGTCTTAGGCATAGCAGTTTATTGTGCAGAGTTGCATCCCTTGGCTGTACAAGGATCTGATGTGATCAAAGGAGAAAATACACTACCCAAATTTTGATAGGAATATTTCCATTATTAATGGTACACCAAAACTTGGAAGTAATTGGTCTATATTAAAGTTGTCTTTTTAAATGAAAAAGAGGCGTAACAATCGTCACTTCTAATTTCTTCATAGTTTCACCACTATCTCTTACACTTGTGTGTTCCAGCAACTCGGGCGGACATTGACGTGGAGGGGGTTGCGGATGCTTTGGGGATCTCCTCCATCATCGTCCAGGACCTGAAGGAGAGACGGACCAGCAACTACAAGTTCAGCTGGGAGCGCATGCTCAACTTTAAGTCAGACTCCGGCGTCTTTCTACAGTATTGTCATGCCAGACTCTGCAGGTCTGTGAACCATGGACCCTGGCTATACATGGCTTTGAAGGGCGGCAGGGTAGTCTAGTGGTTGAAGTGTTTGTAAACCGAGGTCCCTACTTTGTCTGAAATGAGCTGACTATTGCTTTGTTGTAAGAGGCGAATAATGTGATTGGATGGTCAGGCTCGATGACTTGGTTGATGATGGATGTCATCGTATCCCAATTGTGTGGATCAATGCTCATGAAGTCAATCACTTGACTGTCTGGTCCAGACTCAATTATTACAGATCGCCATCATATAGTTGGAATATTGTTGAGTGCGGCGTTAACCAACCAACAAACAAACTTCCGATTGACCAGAATCGAGAACTTTCCAAGTTTGTGGTAGATAGTAACATTCATGTTTTATGCAATGTAAACCACAGCTTTAGTACTTATCTAAGTTTGATCAGATTGAAGTATCCACCATTGTTTCAATTTGTGCCTCAGCATACAGAGATCCTTCAGTGACGAAGATGCTGATGTTGGTGATGGCCAACAACTGAGAGAAGACACCGCCGGTCGACTCATCCTGCATCTAGCCAGGTCAGTAACTGGTAGTCCAACCTACGACAGATGACAACGGCTGAAGGTACTGGCTGAACAGCTCTGGGTTCAAATAATTTCAGCTTTTTGCAGAGTACTCTTCTTGTGTATCTTCCTAAGGCAAGGAAGTTAACTGACTATACACGTCCATTAGTCAGTTACCTCCCTTGCCTCGTGAAGCTGCTTCTTCTGTTGGAAGTCAAAAATCTTTTCTCTTTGTTTTTTTAGCTGAAACCTATTTTATTCCCATAAAAGGCTTTGGACCACGTCATCACAACTCAGAGATCAGGCCTCCCATATATTTACCTGTATGCTTATTTTTAATAAATACATTAAGAGACAGAAAACAAAAAGGGAGGAATAGAGAAACTTAGCATTGCTCCTCATTCAGAATTGTCTTTCCTGTCATTTCTGTTGGACACTTATGTCCCTCCCTCACATATGAATGTAATGGGCCAATATGCTGTGTGCTAGTGGGGAGGCACGGGTGGCCCAGTCGTCTAAGGCGCTGCAATTCGCTGTGCAGAGTTACGTCCCTTGGGCATGCCAGAAACCTATGATGTTGGTTTGGCATGATCATGTGGTTGAGCCTATCTCAGCCTGGGCAATGGTGTTTTTCATTTACTACTGTCTATGCCAATTCTAAGGTTAGGGTATTTCTGTGAACAAGGCATTTATTTGTTCCTACAATTGTTTTCTGTGTGTTTCAGTTATCCTGATGTCGTACAAGAATCACTCCGAAGTCTTGAGCCGTACCACATTGTCCATTATCTCTTCAGATTAGGGTACGTAGTGAAACTGAATATTATTTATGAATATTATGCTTTCATTTTTCTCATAGAATTGGAGCCAAGTAATCTTGGGTTGTGCAGAGTTACATCCCTTTGTCATGCCAGGAATCACATGACAGGAATTCTGTTTGAATCACAGAATTGCCCTGATTATATTCCAATGTTTTTCAGCATCTTTCCAATATTCAAGACTGCCTCCGTGGTCTAGTGGTAGAGCACTCGCCCAGAGAGCGGAAGGTCCGGGTTTCGATCCCCGACCGTGTCATACCAAAAGACATTAAAAGATGGTACTTGTCGTTACCCTGTCTGGCGCACGGCATTTAGGGGCTAAAACAAGGACTGGTCGGCTCGGAGTCAGTATACTGTGTCTGAGTGTGGTATTCATGTTAAGCTGCAGCATGGTATCTCAGTGAGCTAGCACTATAAATCAGCATCAGTCTGGACTAGTACAAGCAGCCACACAAACACACACACATACAAGCACGTCGCTATATAAGTGCAATAATCTTGGACGCGACGTTAAACCCAATTTCACCTCACCTCCAATATTCGTTATTTCACTGAAATAGTAAACGTCTAAGACCTGTATCACTTTAGGCTTTCATCCCACATCATGCTGACATGCAGTGATAAAAGACTAAATACAAAGCAGAACTAAACTCAACTCACTCAGAACACTTTGAGAAGACATATCAAATAATATCATGGAGAATTGGCTTAAACTCATAATGGTCTGTTTGGCATTGGATAAAATGGAACTGGAATTTGTGGTGGTTACCATGGTAACTCAGTTCCTAGAAGGAATGCATCAAGGTGTATTGTAACAGTATTACATAGCCACACACCTGGACCACCGAATCTCTCTGAACCTACTAAAGGACAATCTATTTTCACTTTGCATTCTTCAGGCATATGGTCAATGCAGCGTACAAACACCTACCAGTGAAAGGTCAAGACGCTGCCACTGCACAGGTAAGAACAGCATCGCTCTTTTTCACACTCACTTGAATCTGATATGGATGCTTCTGTCATGTCCAAAGAGGGCACACAGTTTGTTGTTTATGGTTAACAGAACTTTGTTTCCCAATTAGCTTGGGCCGGCTAAAGTAGGCGAGGTGAAAGTGTTTTACTTAGCATCATTCTCATTAAAATTATATCTTAGTTCTCGCTACCGCTAAACGAAGATCTGAGGACATCCCATTACAGGTCCATCAGCATGGTTCAAGTTTCTTTGTACATTCTTATTCCCCCATCCGGAATTTGAAAGGGATTTCACCTTATATTTATATCAATATTGTGTTCTCGGATGCTCTAGCTCAGACAAAAGCCTAGGTATTTTCTACAAATGTGTAAGTATTGAAGGCGACTGATCAGTGTTAAGACCATGAAACCTAAATTATTTGTTTTGATTTACTGCAGGCCCGACTGGCCCTGTTTGACTGCAGCCGCCAGACACTCTCTAATGGCCTCACGCTCCTGGGCATCACACCACTACAGAAAATGTAACAAACCTGCTGTTGTCATTCCTGTAGTAACAAACAATAAAATCATGTACTTAGATTCTGGTGTAGTTCTTATTGAGAGGACAGTTGTAGACCATAACTCAAGGTCCTTATGTCGCACCCCGACCATGTCATGTTGCTGACAGTGTAGCCTCTTTGGTGTGTGGACAAAGTGTCGCCCACAATGGGACAGAGCATGTTAATAAATTTGGGTACAAGTGATCTCAGTACCCAACTATGCGTCCCGGAATGAGTAGGGAATATGTAGCAGGGTGTGGAGTCATCCCACAGATGACATCCTTGCCTTGTCAGCTTGCTGATGGTGATAAACCTCTGACATGTGGACAAGGCATCAGGTCCGTGGTGCTAATCCCATCCGCTTCACTTATAACATTAAAATTCTATTTTGGTAAAAAGTACAATGGTGTTCCATATTTATTCAAATAATACTGACATTGTCGTTATGAGAATCAATACTTGAACAAAACATCAGTCACCATCAATGCTGGCTTACATTATAAAAACTACATGTATTTTATACATAAAGACTTTATTTTTTTTCCTCGTACATAAAATATCAGTGATGAAAATAAAAGAAATGGTCAATGTTCATGATTGATTTATGATGTCCTTCACTGATCCATGTGAAGACGAGGTCCAGAGAGCAATACTCTCCCTCACTTCCTCCAAGTCTATATACAACACGAGTGGCTCGACAACCACATTTCAACCGGCAGATATACACAGTACACTCAACGTCTCCCTCGGGGTGGCCCTCCTCTCCCTCGTCCACGTCCACCTCGTCCTCGCCCACGACCCCGGCCACCTCGACCCATAGTAGCTGAATCAAAGAATAACAAATATTTGCAGTGAAAGACAATCTGATTAATCATTCAGTCTAGTTAGGACACAAGTAGTGATCTATTTGTTTGTTGTTTAAGGCCACACTTGGCAATATTCTCAATATATCACCGCAAACTGTAAATAGTAGAATCGGAACCACACAAACCGTTGACTGATATAATGGGGAACAGCCCAAGCCATCAAAGTATAATGACATGTTTTTGTTTGTATGTTGTTTAACACCACACTCAGCAATATTCCAGCTACATGACTGTGGCCTGTAAATAATCGAGTCTGGACCAAACAATCCAGTGACTGACATGAGCATCGATCTACGCACATGAGATATGATAATATGCATCAACCAAATCGGCGAGTCTGACAACCCGATCTCGTTAGCCATTTCTCACGACAAGAATGGGTTGCTGAACACCAATTCTAGCCTGGATCTTCACGGGTGATAAAGATGTTTGTTTGTTGTTTAACGCCACACTCAGCAATATGACGGTGGTGGATCATTAGATGTAACTTAACAAGTTGCATAGTCCTGTGTACATTGCACAGGCATGGAAGTTTCTAGGGCATATGTCCTGCCACACGCTGAAACACATATTACATGTGACGTCTCTTCAGGCAAGAGATCTTGTTGCAAAATATGCCTGTTCACATAGCAGTGAACATGTACCCGGTAGGGTGAGTGAGTTAGTTAGTGGCTGTTAACCTTCTAACGCCTCATAGGGCAGCTTTGGTTGTATGTTCCCAAGTGAGCTGAGAATGAAATTCCAATGATCACTGATCCATTGACCAGGGTCATAATGTGGATATAGCACAACATAAATACATGTATTATTATTATTATTATAAAATATTTTTGTTATCATTATCATAAGCACTGGAATGCCAAATTTACCTTTGCCGTCCCTCTTCTTGTTGATTCTGGCCTTGGGTGTGTCATCTATGAGAAGTGTGTCAAGAGGCAAACTGTCGGGGAGGATGAAGTAACGGATGTTGTTACCACGAATACTGAGAGAGTCAATCTGTACTGGGTCCTTGTTCTTCACTGTCATTTTGACAGCCTTTAAATGTGTATTCATGCTTACATCAACACCTGCAAATGAAAATATACCATATTATCATAAAATGAATTTGGAATAAAAAAATATTCTTGCTCACTTGTAGTGGTCATTTTTTGCAATAGGTGGACGATGCACAAGCTATAACATGTTCAGTGTAGAAAATTGATTGACACACAATCACCAATGTCACACATTGCAACCCTCCGATCCTTCTTACATAAAGCATGGGTATGGGGCACGTTTTGTTTCTTCATTCATTGACCCACACTGTAATATTCCAGATTCGTCAAAGCAGCCTTTAAATAATCAAGTCTCTACCAGACAAATCGTTGATTGACCATGTTAACTACAGTAAACGACGGTTACAACGAACTGAAAGGGACGACAAATATTAGTTCATTATAAACATATATACAGCATATATAAAGCACATGGTTGGGACTAAAAAAACCACTTTGTTATAACTGTCTGTTCGTTATAAACGTAGTTTACTGTATATTCATCACGTCTGCACATGTGACAGTTTGTCATTAACACGAGTCATGCACTGGAAGTTGGAATACCTCTTTATGTAAGAATATTTAACAAGTTTAAGAACCTTATATCACATTATGAATTTTTTCCCACCCCAAAAATTGACAGTAATGCTGAATCGATTTATGACAATGAATCACAGAATGGAGATATGATACTCGAGATATCTGAGGATGACATTTGCTTCCCACAGGCATTAAAATCATAGACATATCCCTGTTGGATGTACCCAACCTGGCTTCTGAGTCTTCTGGTAAGCAAGGCCAAAGTAACTTGTAAGACACCAAGAAAATGTTAATTTGATAGCACATTCACCTGTGATGGTTCCATGAACCTGTGTACCATTCTTCAGCTCGACAGTTACTGTCTCGTGACTTAGCTTCATCAAGAATCTGAAAAGGAAACATACCGTTACATTCAGTACTCAGCAGTCACAGTTGTCTCGAAACCTCAGCCAAAGCTGAACGTTATTTATTGTGTAACTGTAAAAAAAAAAGCTTTCTATGTCACATAGAAGTATATGTACTTGCTGTTGTGTTTCAGGAGTAATTATGGTAACTGCAAGTCTCCAAACAATATCCGCTGAAGATTATTTAGATTTAACTTTGCCCAGTAACTCGTTGCAGCTTTGTTGTTTAACTTGAATTGATCACAGATAACTTACGATCGCTTATCTAACACCCAATTGTTAAAACGAATGTAAATAAAATCATCCAATGGAAGTATAAAATACACACAATCACTGAGACATTTTCAATTATTTCGACATCAATTCGAACCAGTATCCGAGTAAAATTTTGAACAGCGAGGAAAACAATGTTGACATGGAGGCCGGCTTCAGTCAATCCAAAAAAACACGCAATATCTCACGTCTAATACCAAAAATGCTGCAAATAATATAATGGTTGTGCATTCCTGTATCGATATGGAATTAATTGAGGCGGTTTCTTACCTTACTAGCTTCATGATTGAATGGATTACAAAGTCACTCTAAACATTAACAATGGCGGGTAAACGACATACAGACGCTTTCTCAAGCTCCAGTCATTGCGTTGCGCGTCAAGTTGTAGGTAAGCGATTCCCCCATCTATGAAAGGAGCTTTAAATAATTTTACCTTCGCGGGAAAGAGCTACATTAGATTTTATTGTTTCTAAATGACTGCTAGAGGTGGATTTAACATTAGCCCGACAAAAAATTATGGATCTTTCTCTTGTTATAGTTGTGATTTTGTCTTATTGGGTACAGACATAAATAAACATATCACATTTCATAGATCATAATGCAAAGTCAGATGTGTGTGATTTCATTTGTCAAAAGCTTTTCTGTAACATCGTGTACGAATTGAACGTCAGTTTGGATGGGTTACGCAAAGAGTGAGTGAGTGAGTTTTACGCCGCTTTTAGCAATATTCCAGCAATATCACGGCGGGGGACACCAGGATGAGTGAGTATGGTTTTACACCGCTTTTAGCAATATTCCAGCAATATCACGTCGGGGGACACCAGAAATGGGCTTCATACATTGTACCCATGTTGGGAATCGAACCCGGGTCTTCGGCGTGACGGGCCAACGCTTTAACCACTAGGCTACCCAGTTACGCAAAGAAAAATAGTTATTTGAATATATACAGCATAATCTAGAAATATGTCAACATAATTTCATTCTCTCAACAAATTTACAAACAATATTTGGGATAAATCAAATCTTAAACATGGGTTACAGGAAGGTGAACAAAAATATAAACATGACCTCGATGCACCGAGGCGAGGTCAGCCTTCAAGCGCGGATTTATATATGACGTCACATAAGTTTGTAAAGAGGTGCATTTCGAGTCGAACGGGAGCATGAGGATGAAATTTATACTTTCTGTTGTTGAAAATGAAGTTTATGGAGAAGTTATGGAAAACACCCCGAAGCGTGAACCTTCTCACCGATTTATGAATGTGTTGCTTGTGTCTGGATAATCGCAAACCAATTCGGACGATGCGGAATGGACTGGTGGGGGGTTGGACCAACTGCTCTGAAACTTGCGTGTTTTTTATTAATTTTCAACGTCAGGGTGTGTATATTTGGAGTTTGGGATTTGTCGCGTGTGCTGTAATACTTTGCTTAGCTGGTGTTTCTTGTCACCTGAGATGGACCTACTGTATGACCTGATGCCAGCTTCATTACTGCGCCCCGTCACTCCTCATGTGCTGCTGCTTCTCGGCCTAGAATGCACGGAGAAGGTCGGCCAATTCCGAAACCGGAATAGTAGATTTCTAATTCCGTGTACGGATATTCGTGTCATTTCCGAAAACAAGGCATCAAAGTCAATATCGCTCAATAAATCAATTTCGTTCACCTCAGTAATTTTAAAGAATTAATTTTCTTTACTTGCGTTATTAGTATTGAAAGATAGCCATTCCATATCAAAATCACCGTAAGGACAATCCATTTTGTTTCATCTAGCAGCTAGACGACATCAAACACCAGAACCAAAGCACTTACTTATTTATAACTCAGATGAAATGTTACAAGACCAGGCAAAAATACTAAATTAATTATATTGCTGATAAATGCAGGGATTAAAAAGAAAATAGAAAAACGAGTTGATCGTAAACACAGATCGAGAATTCGGGGAAGCCCCGGAAAGTAGTTCCGGCAAAGGTTCACATAAAAATGTTCACATCGTGTGAACTTGTTTTGTCCGTTCACAGGTGTGTGAACTCCAATTATCAGATCACGTGACTACCCCTTCAGCCAATCAGCATGAAAGAAACAGTGTAAACTTCAAAGTATGAAATTATTATAATTTATATATACATTTATAATAATATACTTTAAAAAAATAAATCCAAATGGAGACCAGAACTCTAAATTCAAGTTATAAAACTAACGTGCCAAATCATAATAAATTTCGGTTGGATTCATTTTTTCATTTATTCTCTAGTCACGGAGACAGAGGATTTGTTTTTCATTAATTTCATACTTTGAAGTTTACACTGTTTCTTTCATGCTGATTGGCTGATTTTACGATAAAAGTATGTGAAATATCAAAATATGGAAAAACAGACTCCATGTCCCTTATGGGCCACCGTATAAAAAAACACGAACATCGTTAAAGTTAAGCAGCAGTAGATCTGAATATTTTTGTCTCGCTTGAATTTTCAAGTCTACTCATGTGAAGACCGGCAAACTTTGAACATTAAGCCCTACTGAAAGGATTTCAACATGAGGTAGAAGTTTGGATGGTTCACTAATTACTCGGTTTAATTCCGATTATTATTCTCAAGATCTGGGGTGTTATACATACACTGGCGGGCAGTATACACCTATCTTTCATAGTGGTCTAAAATGAAATAAACTAGAAATGTTTTTTCGACCGTGATGTATTGGATACAGGTATCATATATAGTTGTGTTTGGACCTTAAGTTGCCCGAGTATCGGCGTCTGTTGTCGATAACGTCTGTAATTGTTTGGCCTAACCCAATTTTCAAGGGTCTACTTTCTTTTGCCCGTCAGTTTACCTAGAAGGCCCACACATAATAACAAGGAAATGTACAATGGAGTGAGTGTTTTTTATGTTTTGTTCGTTTGTTGTTTAACGCCGCACTCGGCTGAAAATAATCGATACTGGACCAGGCAATTCAGTGATTGGCATCATGAGCATCGATCTACAAAATTACGATACAGTGATATGCACCAATCAAGTCATGGAACCTGACCACCCAATCCCGTTAGTCGCCTCTTACGACAAGCATAGGTTGCTGAAGACAAATTTAACCCGGATCTTCACGGGGGTTAAATGAGTGAGTCAGTTCACAGTGTACCGCTTGATGTCTGAGGAAGCACAAACATAGGCCTTCGATATTTCCTACTTGGTTGAAACTCACGAGCACAAAATGGTGCAGACATACCTAGACATATAAGCAGGGCGCATCTGGCATTCAAACTCACGTCCATAGGATTCTGGCATGCCCAAGGGACGCAACTCTGGACAGCGTATTGCACAAACAATGTAAGACATTCCTGTCCGCATCATGCTGTGTATAGCAAGCATGTCAAGAAGAAATTCTCCCCAGTAGAATGCTTATGATGCAACTGGTATCTTTATCTGAATCTCGCCACATATAAAGATACATACCCCCGTGTTATTGGTTTTCGCACTCTTAAGAAACATTCGTAGTTTTCTCTCTGATCAAATAGCGAGTGAAGCACTTGTAAAATCGTCAATCGTGCCGCCTGACATTCCTAAAATCCAACGACAGTTATATGATCAAAATGTTTTTGATATCACCATCGTCTTTCAGTTAGTACGCTCTGTTGAACTAATAGTGTCAAGTGAAGAAATTTAGGCTGATATCAAAACGAGTTTAGAGAATGATGTAAAAAATTATTGATTTTTTTATACGAAATCTTAAACACTACATATCGTATATCCTTAGAACTGTCACAAACAACAGTCATCCAGTCATGGCCTGTTTATAACTCTTCTAATGATTATCACTGTTTCTTAGAACCAACAATAGCTGTGACATAACGCGTGCGTGTAGTTAACGCCGCACTTAAGCCAGCAACACGACGGCGGCCTGAACAGAATTGAGCCTTACCAGACAATCCGTTGATTTGTATTGTGAGCAACGATATAGCATAGGTATACATTGCTGCATGAGAACCAATTCTAACCCAGAAATCCCCAGAAATATTACAGAGCACATTGACTACATATGTCTGTTCTTGAGACTTATACACATTTGTCTTAATAGGTGTAAAATAATGTTGATATCTGTTGATGCCAATACCTCTTGTGCAGAACGTAATGTAGAACAGGGTTGATAACTGCTGTAACACAGGTTTTTAGTTTTAATTCTACTTCTATTTAAAGACCGGCTCCGTGGTCTTGTGGATAGAGCGTTTCGGCGCTTTGCTTTGAGGGGATAAAACAAGGAGTGGTCGGCTCGGGTTCTGTAAACTTTGTCGATGTGAGGTATCCATTTTAAACTGCAGCATGGTTAGCACGCACTGTTGGCTAACAGTGCGTGCTAACCATGCTGCAGTTTAAAATGGATATAGAACATATCCAAAAGTTTGTTTTTTTCTCTTGGTTCGCTGTACAAAAACTAGTCTCAAGCCCGCGTCTTGTCAGATTTCGTTTGGTCCAGTATGATTTGATAGAAAAATGTCTATATATTATAAACCACTTGAATCAAGTGAATATAAAGCTAAGAGACTATTTCTGGGCGAGTAGACTACTCAGCTGTTCACCAAACATTTAGATTTCTGGGGACCAAGTCCAACCCGAGGCCCAATGGAGAACTTGTGTGGAAGACTTCAAACGTGACAATCATCAACAGCTAGCACGTACACTCTCAAGAGCCAATATTAAACCTTCGATTTACCCAAATTGGTTGATTTTCGCACGTTTCAACACGCCCATTAGAGTTTCAAAGTTCATGGTCGAGGTGTACTGGTAATAAGACAAGTGTCTTTTCCACAATTCTCCAATAAATCAAGAACAAAAAAATCAATTTACTTCATGTCCAACGTTATCTTTCTGTTGTATATCACTTTTACTTACAGCTATTTACAACTTAACACATTGACAGTTGTTCTTTTTGGGGGGCCTTGAATTTTTTTGAGATTTTTAGCTCAAGTCGTGGGACCATGCACCTGCTGTCGTAAAGTTATATATATATATATGTTACCTCTCACCCGAAACAGGGTCAGTTTATTTCAATATTCTTTACAGCCCAGAATTATCTTCTGGTAGTTATGTGCGAGTCATCTTCCCGAGGCAAGGGAGTTAACTGACTATAAAAGTGGAAACGTGACTTGTTATAATCAGTTAACTCCTTTGCCTCGGGAATCTGTGTGTGAGTTGGTGAATACTCTTTACGCTACATTCACTTCTATCCCTGGTGTAAATGATCGAGACTGAACCTGTGGTTGATAGTATGAGCAGCGATCCCCGCAGTCATGGCACGTTCACTCACCGTCAGCCATTGTAACCAACCGATCCTCAGTGACTCTTAAACATGGGTTACTGTGGGAATGTTTTGTCTCAGAATCACCGGGGACACGGGTGGCCCAGTCGTCTAAAGGCGCCGCAAGTCGATGTG